TGTCAGAGTGCTGGAAGGGAAGGCAGCTGCCATGCTCTGGGCTTGTCAATATACAGATGTATTTCTAGATTTCTTCTGTGTGCCAGAGAAGTAAACGTATACCTGGGTTAAGCTGTTCTTATTTTGGATTTTCTGGGATAGACAATGAAATCTGTTCCTAACCCATGTATCATGCAAGCAATAAAACTCTCTAAAGTCATACAAATGAGTGAGACACCATCAGGTTGTAAAACTTACAGTTTATGGGTTTTTTTCAGGGACCTGAAATTAATAGGTATAATAAGTTGCTTCCAGTTTCTCCCCCAGAGATGATGTGATGTACCTACTTACTTACAAACATTGGAAGTTATGCTACCTAGCCTTCTCTCAGGAAGCTATGGCCTCACTTGTTTTCAACATTGTATTATGGGGCCCCCAAATCTTAGTAATTTAGGACTATTGCTCCCACGTATTCCTCTGCCCTAGCACAGGGTGTCCCCACCAACAGGGCTGATGCTGGCCCAGAGCTGCTGCTGAGTGAGCTCTGCCTGGTTGCCCTTTCTGATGCTGTGGCTCAGACCCCTTCCCATGCTTGGCTCTGTCTATGAAACACACAACCTGGGGGCGGCGTGGTGGCACAGCAGGTAAAGCTGCCGCCTGCAACACCGTCATCCCACATCGGGGCTGGTTCCTGTCCTGGCTGCTCCATTTCTAATCCAGCTCCCTGTTAAAGGCCTAAGAAAGCAGCTGAAGAGGGTCAAGTGCTTGGGTGCCTGCCACCCAGGTGGGAGACCTGGAAGAAGCTCCTGACTCCTGGCTTTGGCCTAGCTCAGCCCTGCCTGTTGTGGCCAACTGGGGAGTGAACCAGTGGGTGGAAGATTCTCTCACTCTGTATCTCTCCCTCTTTGTGTAACTGACTTGGGTCCCTGCCTGGTGCTCTTAGCATTGGCAATGGCCTCTCTGCTGCAGTCCACTGAGGCACCATGGGGAAGTGCTTCTCAGAAGGACTTTTCCAGAAGCTACAAGCTCCTGCACCTCTGCACATGGGCCTGAAATACAGGCTTCTGCTGATGCCACAACTCACTTCTGGCTCACGTCATGCACAGTGCAACCGCTCTTATGTCACTGCAGCCAAATAAAAGAAGCAGAAACACACGGAAACGTGTTTGCTGCTCTTCAGCTCCCTGCAGAAGCCACCTGGATGGTGGGCTCCAGGGACTGGTGAAGTGCAGGTGCTGCCCGGTCAGGAAGTGCCTCCCTCCCTGCAACCCCTTGCTGGGCCCGTCCTTAGTCCCCAGGCCACTGTGGCTGTCACCAACGTGGTTCTGGAGATGCTGAGCCCCAGTCATGAATCCAGCCCCTCCCTGCCTTGCCATCTTCAGGTGCAGCTGAGTTTTGCACCCAGACAGAATGGATTTTCATATTTCGATTTTGCCTTTTCCATGGGGCATGAGGCATTTTTTTCTAAAAGGTCAGCACCATTCGTGTCAACATTTTCACCCATTTGCTTCTATTTCTTTTCTGATTTACAAAGAGCCCCTGCTAGTTGAATGTGCTTCAACTTATCGCCAATGCACATTAGTCATTTCTTTATTTTATTGCTCTTGACCAGACCAGAATTAATTTTCCAAAATTATGTAGTACATCAACATAATGATTTACTAAACCCAGATTGTGGGGAGCAGCCCGGACTGGACTGAGTTACTGGAATTAAGACTTATTCTATGCATCTGCTCTCCCACAATATGGCGCTGGGAGAGAAGTAAACAGCTTCCGCACAGCTGCCTCCAGTTCAACCAATAAACTGTAGGACTTGCTCCTGATTGGAGGAGAGCAGCGTACTTGGCAGGACTGCCCTGTGGCCAGGCATTACCTGCTGGACAAAGGAGTGCAGCTCTGGGGGCAGGGGAGCGGCCTTGTAGAGAGGCAGGGCAAGGCTCCCACAAATGTCCCCTCAGCGCACTGCCTGCGTCGCCATGGTAATGCTCCAAGCAGGAAGGGCTGCTCTGGGTGCTGTTTCCTGCTGAGACTACAGGGCTCCAAAGCTGACAGAATGGTATGTCTGCCTGGACTCTCCCTGGGGAACTGGGACCCCTCACAGCAGAGGCAGAGGCAGGGCTAGGCTGGAGTCTCAACAACCCTTGGGGCAGACTGACCAGTGAGGGATGCGAAAGTAGGCTAGGAGCACTGAGGCAGGGCCACTCACTAAAAATATCGCCCAGGCCACCACTGGACACCTGTGCATGGCTGTCCCCTCAGGTAAGAACCTCTGTCTACCTTACCCCTCCCTGATGAGACTCTGTGTGTATCTGCCTCCCTCAGGTGAGACCCTGTATCTGCCCCCATCAGGTGAGACCCTATGTGACTTTGCCCCTGTCTCAGGTGAGATACTGTGTGTATCCCTGACCCCCTCAGGTGAGACCCTGCGCGTATCTGCCTCCCTCAGGTGAGACCCTGTGTGTATCTGCCCCCCTCAGGTGAGACCCTGTGTGTATCTGCCCCCCCTCAGGTGAGACCCTGTGTGTATCTGCCTCCCTCAGGTGAGACCCTGTGTGTATCTGCCCCCCTCAGGTGAGACCCTGTGTGTATCTGCCTCCCTCAGGTGAGACCCTGTACGTATCTGCCTCCCTCAGGTGAGACCCTGTGTGTATCTGCCCCCCCTCAGGTGAGACCCTGTGTGTATCTGCCCCCCCTCAGGTGAGATCCTGTGTGTATCTGCCTCCCTCAGGTGAGACCCTGTGTGTATCTGCACCCCCTCAGGTGAGACCCTGTGTGTATCTGCCTCCCTCAGGTGAGACCCTGTACGTAGCTGCCTCCTGCTCACGTGAGACCTTGTCTGTATCTGCCTCCCTTTCAGGTGAGTCCATGTTTGTACCTGTCCTTCTAATATGTGAACCTGTGTTTGTTTTTTTTCCTCTTTCACGTGTGATGCTGTGTGATTTTTTTTCCTCTCTCAGGCGAGCAGCTGTGCATGCCTGCCCCTCTCCTGTGAGAACTGAGTCTCAGCAAATTTCAGTTAGTTGCTCCAAGCTGTATGCTCAAAATACAGAGGACAGCCCCAGCCTGTGACCCTGCCCACCCCATGCTTCTACCTGCGGACAGTGGCTGGGCATTGTGCCAGGCTGAAGCAGAGGACTCGGTGCCTGTGGGGTCTGGGACGACCAGCCACTCTCAGGACGGGTCCTGCTGAGGTTCATGGCAGGCAGTTTCAGGAGCGTGGGTCAAGCTGTGGTGACACGGTCAACACTGTGGCCTGCCCATTCTGACATCACAAGTGCCTAAGTGCATGGCTCTGAGATCCTGTGTAAAAACCTTATCTGAACGATAACGAGACCAGGACCAAGAGATTCGAATGGCAAACGAGAGCTCTCCTGGCCCTGTGTGCCGTCCTGGACTCCCTGCTGCTGCCTGCTCACACCTGACATCCACAACCCTTGACCTCGCAGCAGGCAAACTCAGAGGGCTGTTTTTGTGCCAGGATCCTGAAATATTTGGCACACGCTCAGCACTCCTCACCCCGTTCTCTCACTGCACATTTGGCATCCGAGGTCCACATCACAGGGTAGACTCCTGAAAATCTGGGATTTCTGCTTGATATCTGTAGTGTCTCTCATGGTGCCAGGGAGCAGTGGCCATCTTGTTCATGCCACGAGGGACCAACATGAGAAGCAGCAACAAAAATGAGCTTAAATTTCCCCAACCCCTTGGCTGCCGACAGGTCTGTTTTGCTTTGAAGAAAATGAAAACACATGGTATTTTCCTCCCCGAGAGTATGAGCTTGCAAATAGACATCTGAATGCTCAAACATCTGTGGTCACCACTGCGCCACAATCCCCAGCCACTCCACCTATTTGAGAAACTTTTCCCTGCTGTGTGGGCATCTGCCCTGGTTCTTGGTGAGATTGCAGAGGGCACTACACCAGTTAACATTCTCAGGAGAGAGCTGTGTGTGACAGGGGCAAAGCACAGGCTCGGTGAGAGTTGGGGATGTGTAGGGACCCGGGTGACTCCTGGGCTGCAGCTGTTACTCTGTGAGCTACTGTGTTACTCTGTGGGCTCCTCTATTACTCTCTGGGCTCTCTGTTACTGTGTAGGCTCCTCTGTTACTCTGTGGGCTCTTCTGATGCTCTGTGGACTCCTCTGATGCTCTGTGGGTACTGTGTTACTCTGTGGACTCCTCTATTACTCTGTGGGCTCTTCTGATGCTCTGTGGACTCCTCTGATGCTCTGTGGGTACTGTGTTACTCTGTGGACTCCTCTATTACTCTCTGGGCTCTCTGTTACTGTGTAGGCTCCTCTGTTACTCTGTGGGCTACCTTGTTATTCTGTGGACTCCTCTGATGCTCTGTGGACTCCTCTGATGCTCTGTGGACTCCTCTGATGCTCTGTGGGCTACCGTGTTACTCTGTGGACTCCGTTAGTATGTGGACTCCCTGTTACTCTGTGGACTCCTCTGGTGCTCTGTGGACTCCCTGTTACTCTGCGGACTCCTTGTTGCTCTGTGGACTCCCTATTACTCTGGATTCCTGCTACTCTGTGAGCTCTATGTTGCCCTGGGCTCCCGCTGTTCCTCTGCGGATCCCTCTGATACTCTGATCTCCTCTCTTATGTGGGCTCCTCCTGTTACTCTGTGGACTGCTGTTACTCTGTGGGTTCTACTTTTACACTGCAGACTTTTTTTCTATCCTTGAGTTCCTTCAATTATTTTGACTCCTCAACATGCAACCTGGGGAATTCTTTCGTTGGGAACTGTGTTCCTGCTGGACAATTAGGCTACAATTGGTTCGGATGGTCCTTGATACAGGATGGCTCAACATTTATTTATTTAATTTTTTTTTTACTTCGAAGGCTGCGAATGAGGTACCCCTACAACCGTTCTGTTCCCCACTTCTGGCACGGAAACCAATCTGTGTCACTGGGCTTTGGTTGGATGATTTCGCCGGGCGGTGGGCTCCGGTGCGTTGACCACCAGGGAGGCGCTGGCGGCTCTGACGAGAGGCTGAGGGCCGGCAGCGTCTACCCAGGCTGAGGCTCTGACTAAACCAGGGCAGGTCCGGAAAGGAGGGGGAGGCAGGGGCGAGGTCGGCGGAGGACAGCGCGGAGCGCAGGGAGGGCGAAGGCTTCGGAGCCACTGGGCCGACTCTGCGACCGCGCGGCACCGCACAGCCCTGCATCGCCCGCACGGGTCACGCACGAGCTGTTTTCCAGCAGCAGCCCCTCCCGCGCGCGCTGCGGAGGCGGAAGCACTTCCCGCGCGAAACACGCACGTTCGTGCTTGGTCACTGCACTTCCAGCCGCTTCGAGCGCGCCATCTCGCTCGTTCCCGCAGAAACCCCGGAAGACAAGCGCCCCGAACTCGGATCGCAGGGCCTCCGGGCCGCCTCCGCTTCTCTCGGCACTCGAGGCCCGCAGCCGGAAGGCAGCCGGGCCACAGGGCGTGGCGGCCGCACCGCGCACCGAGCGCACGCGGCTGGGACGCGCGCCTGGGCCGGGCCTTGTCGTGTCTGGCCGCCCCGGGAAGCGGAGGGTCCGGGCGCCCACAGGGGCCGGCCTGCGGGGCGGGTCAAAGGGCGGCCCCGCCCTCCGCGCCCTGGCCCGCCCAGGGCCGCCCAGGCCCGCCCCCGGCACCCGCCGGCCGAACCCATTGCGCACGCGCGCCACGGGCCTCGGGGACGGGGTAGCAACAAGGCCACGCGGAGCCTCTGTGGCCAATCAGCGGCCGGGGGCGGGGCTTTCCGCACGCCCTGGACGCGGCGGGTGACTTCCGGCAATAATCCCAGACGCGTCGGCTTCAGGTGCGGACTGAGGCGGGGCGCGCCAGGGGCGGACGGGGCTTTGGCGTTCGGGTTGGGCACTGGGACAGTCTGGCGGACGTGCCGGGTGAGTGCGAGGCCGTGACGGTCCGGGGGGGACGAAGCCACGGGCAGTGCCGTGCCCATGTGGCCGTGGGTGGTGCGGTGGGATGGAGGTTGGTGCACCTCGCAGCCGCTGCTCTCGGTGGACGCCGCCCTCCCAGGGTCTGCCGGCTCGGCGTGGCCGGCCCCGTGGCCCCGGGTCCTGCCGGCCCCCCTGGCCCACGCCTCAGCCCGCCCGCAGCCCACCGGGACGGGCCTGGCCGCTCCGGCGCATCCTCCGCGCGCTCCTGCGCCCCCTGCCCCCCGACCTTGTGCTGCCGGCCGCCAGCCCGGCCTGTGGGTAACCGCCCTGGGCGCCTGCTCTCCTGGCTTCCGGTCAGTTGCCCTCGCCGCCCGCTTCCCCGCCGGCGGAGGGAGAGGTCCGAGCCTCTCCTGGTGAGAGGCTTTTGCCCGCGACGCCTCCTGCGGGTCAGCGCGTCTGGTCTGAGAGCGCAGACGTTTCCTCCTCACACCCCAGCCCTCTCCCTGCCGTGAGCAAGAGAGAAGCAGACGCGTATGAAGTGAAGGCCTTTTCCCTCACCCCAGCGCAGTGCAGATTAGTCTATCATAACGAAAAGTGAGAGGGGGAAGCGCCCTTTGCCAGCTGCTTTCCCCCGAATACGCGATGCCTTGCCATTGTTTCACGTTTCTGTGCTGTGTGGAGCCTTGGCCGTGCGGATCAGGGTGACCGCGCCAGCGCTGGCTGTTCCAGTTACTGCATTTACCTTCCGTCCTGCGGAGCGCGAAGACACGGAGCCCTTCGTGGACTTTCCTGTCTTGTTCTCCTTGTTTTCGTGCTCAGAGCCATCCCGGGTTAGGTCATGTTGGTGATATGGGGGATGCACGTTAATGTAACAAACGCTCCTAACCTGGTAATTTTACGTGGTGGGGTGTCCGGTGTTGCTGCTACTGAGTACTACAGCAGGGATCTTGGAGTCTCATTTTATTCCCAGCTGCGTGTCGGCATCAGTAGAGAATTAAGCCTGAAAAACGAGGATAATTGAAGCTTCCTGCCTTGTAGGGTGCGGTGAGAGTGAGGGCCGACGTGAGGTGGTGGTTGTAGGCTGTTGAGAGTCGGCCGGCACCAAGCCCCGGCAGGTGCTGGTCCTTGTTAGTACCATTAGCTAAGAAAAAGCTGCTGGTGGACGAAGAGAGCTTTGGTCAGGTCTGACTCCTGCCGAGAATTTCCACGGCACACGGGCGTGGTGAAGTCCATTCTCCTTCAGTTCCCAGCCCAGGGGTCGGGAAGAATTTAAGCGGCTCAGCCCCAGGTACTTGCCCACATGTGTCAGTGTGAAATGTACTTAATGAATGAGGTACATCACAACTGAGTGGTGTAAGAAGTAATTTCTATTGTATGTATGTATTTTCAAGGCAGAGAGCCTTCTCATCCACTGATTCCCAGCCCAAGTGCCTGCCAGGAGCTGGGACTGAGCCGGGCTGAAGCCAAGGAGCTGAGACCTCAGTCCAGATCTCCTTTGTGGGTAGCAGGGACCAAGTGCCTGAGCCATCACTTGCTGCCTCGCAGGAAGGTGGACTTGGGAGCAGAGCTGGAATTTGGACCCAGGCACTCTGATGTAGGATGTGGGAGTTGTGCCAGACACCCACTCCCAGGCGTGATACTAGTTTTTTATTTTTGCATGTGCAGATTTTCTTTTTTTTTTTTTTTTTTTTGCATTTGCAGATTTTCAAAACAAAGGTACTTTGAATTAAAATAAATCTATAAAGCCCTAATACATTCACATTTATTTAGTAACATTTTCTGACTTAAAAAATCATACCTTGGATTGGAAATAATTTGAATGCTGGAAACACAGGCCTTTGAGATTGCAAGTTGTCTTTTTAAAGTTTTTTTTCTGTTCCCCAAAAGCTTTTTGGTTACTGTTTTTTATTTTGTTTTATTTGGAAGAGTTAGAGAAGGAGAGATCTTCCATCCTCTGGTTCACTCCCCAGATGGCAGCAACAGCTGGGACTGGGCAAAGCCAGGAGCCTCGCCCAGAAGTGGAGCAGCCTGGACTTGAGCCCATGCCCATATGTGGTGCTGGTATCATTTGCTAACCCAGAGCACCAGCCCATGTTCTGTTGAGTCTTTGTTTAGTTCATGAACTGCATAGATTACATCTTAAGCTAGAACTTCACCATGATCTAGAGCAGAGCCTGGCAGGCTCATGAAACACAGCGTTTCTAACGCACAGCCCTGGACTCTGACCACACTGCTGTTGGAGCAGTTCCCTGCTTCCGGTCCTTAGCAACATTTGAGCAGACGTTTGCAGCTAAAACATTCAGACCAGACTGCCCTCCTTTATCACCAAGTGGTTAAAGTCACGATGAATGATAGCACCTGGAGTTTTGGTGAGTGTAGAAGAGTTGGTTACTACTGGAAACACCCACAGGCGCTTTCTGTAAGCGTCACAGGGCTTGTTTGGGAGGCCAGAAGATAAGTGTGTTAGTGGTGAGGGCTGTGGTGTCTTCCAGCTGTGAGGCACCACGTCTGCACACCCATGTGTGCAGTCTTCCAGACGAGCTCTGTCCACAGGCAGATTTTGTGTTTTTCCTATCTCCAGTCTCCATTTGACCTTTGCTACAGACTCTAGAAAATTATCAGTCTTAAGGAAACACTGCTTATGTCTAGAGATTAAAGTCCGAATGCCTTTGGTGCCGCAGGCTGGCAGTGGCCTGGCTTCTCACCTTTCCAGACTTCCCGCTGGCCTCAGCTGGGATCAGGCCTCTGTAGGCACCTGCTATGCTTGTGGCCTCCCACTCCGGGGATGGCTGCTTTGTTCCTTGCCTCTCCAGTCCCTTGAAATACAGATGTATGTTAAGGCCACATACGTGTCCTATCACCTCAGAGCCTTCCTAACTGAATGGCTTTCTGTCTCCAATTTTAATTTTTCTGTCTTTACTACTCATCGGGTAGTCTTGTTAGAAGATTGCTTATGTGTGTGTGTGCCTGTATATGTGTGTGTTTTATACTTTGTTACAGTATGTTAATTATATTGCCTGTATATGGCATATGTGTGTCTTGTACTTTGTTTTATTGCAGTATGTTAATTATCCATTTATGTATGCAGTATATGTATCTGCATTTTTTTTTAAGATTTATTTATTATTTGAAAGAGTTACATAGAGAAGGAGAGCCAGAGAGAGAGAGAAAGAGGTCTTCCATCCACTGGTTCAGTCTCCAGTTGGCAGCAATGGTAGGAGCTACACCGATATGAAGCCAGGAGCCAGGAGCTTCTGGGTCCCCAACTTGGGTACAGGAGCCCAAGGATTTGGGCCATCTTCTGCTTTCCCAGGCCATAGCTGAGAGCTGGATCAGAAGGAGAGCAGCTGGGTCTCAAATCTGACACCCATATGGGATACCAGCACTGCAGGGGATGGCCTTTACCCTCTATGCTACAGCGTCGGCCCCATTTGCATGTATTATACTTGGTTTTATTATAGGTTAATTTTATTAACTGTGGGTAGAGTGTGTGTGTATGTGCTGTGGCTTTTTTTTTTTTTTTTTTTTTTTTTTTGGTAAGTTCCTTGACCCGATGGTATACTTTTACACCTTGAGGGCAGGGGTTTTTCAGGATTACCACTTAATTTTTTTGAGAAGACATTTCTGAGTCTACAGTTTTGATATGTATTGAGAAATACTTGGGCAGTTATTAGGGTCCTAGCAGCCCTTTTTTCTGCTGTGTTCTTGAAACTGAAGTAGTCGTTGCTGCCTCCCAGTCCCTGCCCTCTTCTGTGGAGTGTTCCCCGTCTGTGGCTGGTGTTCATGCGGGCCAGGTACGCACTTTGGAGGTGGGCCACGCTAAGTCTGAGCTGCCTGGCGTGGTGGTAGCTGTGAGGCAGGTTTGGAAGATTAGGTCCAGCAACGTAGTGCAGGGGTATAAGGGATGTCTTTAAAGCAAAAAAATTTAGAAGTGGTCTGAGGTGGGGCTAAGCAGTTCTGTTTTTTAAAGGTTTCCCAGACTGATTTTAATGCCACCTGCTTGTTGAAAGCCACTGGCCAAGGGAAAGGGAACCCAGTCAGTGGGGAGACCTCAGTTTAGGTTTTGGGCTTGTCAAATTGTAAGGTCTGTGAAGTAATAATGTGTCATTTAAAAAATTTTGAAAATTACAATCTTCACCTGGAAGCCAGGCCATTGGACCCCAGCAGGAAGGCCAAGAACAGAGGCAGCAGATCCTTGCATCCTTGTGTTCCTCACTGCAGAGCCAGGGGCTGAAAGACCGACGTGATTTCTTCCTCGCACGTCCAGCCTGCCTTCCAGGGCTGTGGACTCTGCTCCTGGGCATTCCTTTGGCACCATACTCGCCTGGTGATGGCCATCTTCGGTAGCTGCTAGTCCTTACTCTTTCCTCCTGGAGTCAGCCACTCCCCACAGCTTAATCCTGAGTTCTTGGCAAACCTCAGGTCTGGGCAGATCTCTTGCCTGTGTGAGTCCCTTTCTTGGGCTCTCATTGCCCCTCTGACTTGACCTGGCTGATAGTGACTTCTCCATTCTGGCTTCTGGCCCCTCCCTCACCTCTATTGTAGTCTAGCTTCTCCCACAAATCCATTCCGTGCTATATCGTGGGTAACTCCAGGCAGTAGGACACTCTGTTTGCAGTAATATTCTGTTGGTTTTCCCACACCTAGAACCCTGCCTGTTCTTCAGGGCTGAGCTTTGATGTCACCTCTGGTCACCTTTTCACAACAGATATAATATTGATTGGGCTGGTAAATTGACCTACATTAGGGCACTTCAAAAATTTGTTGGAAATAGAAATAAAAGATGTTTATCTTGGTGCAACAAAAGTGAAATCTGCAGTTTTTTGGTAATATTTTCTGTGAGCTTCTACAATTCAGATGTGTTTATCACTTCAGGGTGACTACAGTGCCACATTGTTGGCATTATTATTTTTTTTTTGGTCAATGCTATCTGGCTGATGTTGACTGATAAGCAGACATGTAAATATTAAGTAAGGATTTTAGTGGTTAAGATCGATGAACAACTGCTTGAAATAAAAATAAACTTTTGATGTATATACACATTTAACTTTTTTTTTTAGGAGAACTATGCCATTTTTGGGTCAGGACTGGAGGTCTCCTGGATGGAGCTGGATTAAAACAGAAGATGGCTGGAAAAGGTGTGACTCCTGTAGTCAGGAACTTGAAAGAGAGACTGACCAGTGCAGCCTCAGCCACAACATGTAAGTCAGCCTTATCTGTTACTCAGGGCACAACAAATAATGCTCACAAAAACCCTGGACACAGGTGTGAGAAGGAAAGTTTGCCCACCCAGGAGGCAGGTGTGAGGAGACAAATGAGTTTGTCCACCCAGATGGAGGTGTGAGGAGTTGGATGAGAGTTTGCCCACCCAAGAGGCAGGGGTGAGGTGGATGAGAGTTCCAGATGGAGGTGTGAGGTGGATGAGAGTTTGTCCACCAGGAGGCAGGTGTGAGTGGATGAGAGTTTGTCCACCCAGATGGAGGTGTGAGGTGGATGAGAGTTTGCCCACCCAGGAGGTAGGTGTGAGGTGGATGAGAGTTTGCCCACCCAGGAGGTAGGTGTGAGGTGGATGAGAGTTTGCCCACCCAGGATGTAGGTGTGAGGTGGATGAGAGTTTGTCCACCCAGATGGAGGTGTGAGGTGGATGAGAGTTTGTCCACCAGGAGGCAGGGGTGAGGTGATGGTTGAGAACTTGCATACCTAGGAGGCAGGTGTTGAGGATATGGCTGGGATTTTTTTCCACCAAGGACACAAGTGAGAGGAAACAGCTGAGAGTTTTCTCACTTGGGAGGCAGATATGAGGAGACACCTGAGATTTTGCCCATCTGGACTCGGTATGAGGCCACAGTTGAGAATTTGCCTAGCCAGGTCACAGGTAGCTTAAAGTCTTTCTCTCCTTGGAATTTCGTTTATGTAATGCATTACCTTGGTTCTCTGGATGTCTTTGTCTACTTTGAGTAGTTGAGCATTTCTCAAATCATGACTGTCTTCATTTGTAGCCCTGGGATACTGAACCATTAGATACTCTCTAGTTGTTTTTTGTTTTTTTTGACAGGTAGAGTTATAGACAGTGAGAGAGACAGAGAGAAAGGTCTTCCTTCCGTTGGTTCACTCCCCAAATGGCCGCTACGGCGGGCGCTGCGCCGATCCAAAGCCAGGAGCCAGGTGCTTCTTCCTGGTCTCCCATGCGGGTGCAGGGGCCCAAGCACTTTGGCCATCCTCCACTGCCTTCTTAGGCCACAGCAGAGAGCTGGACTGGAAGAGTAGCAGCCGGGACTAGAATCTGGCGCCCATATGGGATGCTGGCACCTCAGGCGGAGGATTAACCAAGTGAACCATGGCGCCGGCCCCTCCAGTTGGTTTTAAAAATGGCAGAACGTGGGTGTTACAGGGTGACTGAGAAGTTCATCAGTGAAAGGTGGGAGTCCCCTCTTGGCTTCTGGTTTTAAGGGGTGCTGTTCTCAATGAGGAAGCCTTGCCTGTCTTTTGGAGGGCAGCAAGGGTAGCCTGTCCACTGTGCCCTAATCCCAGAGATGAGGATCTATTCTATTTTGGATTTCAACAGGGAGATCATCCAAGTTGGGTCTGATCTTGGTTCTCATTGACATCATAATAAAATATTTATGTTTAGGGATAATGAGCCAGGAAGAAGTGCTTCGGGAGGATAGCAAGTTCCTGTCAAGTGATGTAATTGGACATTCTGGCATCACCAAAAGCTGGTGGGAGATGAGGACATCTGTCTAGCAAACCAGAGGCATAGTAAGTTGTCGGAAATGGCACTTGCCATCACTCCTGTGATAACACAACTCTCAGGATAGGAGTCCCAGATGACTGCAACGGCCGGAGCTGTGCCATTCTGAAGCCAGGAGCCTCCTCCTGGTGCCCCACATGGGTACAGGGGCCCAAGGACTTGGGCCATCCTCCACTGCCTTCCCAGACCATAGCAGAGAGATGGATCGGAAGTGGAGCAGCCAGGACTAGAACCAGTGCCCACAGGAGATGCTGGCACTGCAGGTGGAGGCCCTACCCACTATGCCACAGCACCGGCCCCTGTGTTAGTATCTCTTTAAGGCCTCTACCAGCCATTTCTGGAATAAGGCTGGATTCTGTTCCTTAGCTGTGTCACCCCACTGACTTTGTTATAATTTATTTGCTTGATAATACATTTTTTCATCCCAGCCCCTAAACCATAAGGTCTCAGCACCCTAAATCCTCATGACCTCTTTGCTAATACCATTGAGGATCTGTTGGTAAAACCGTCTGGCTCCTGCAGCATGTTGGTTGGGCCGCTGGGGAGACACCATGGGCATGGGCCTAATCCCAGATTTGCTGTTTGTCCTTCAGGATACAACAAGCATGTCGCCCCAGATTCCTCAGTATATGTGGTAGGATTTTCTAAAAACCTCCCCTCATTTTGCTGACACTGATTTAGACCAGTCATGGAGAAAAGGACATGTACTCCCAATTTTCCAGCATCACCATTGGCCTGGGTGCTACCAGGTCCCACTTTCCTGTAGTAGAGGGGGAAAGGTTAAGTTGTAGGGTACAGGCTGTGGGCAGGTAAGGGAAAGAGAACTGAGGTCTGAGGGGGGAGCCTGTACCCCTGGGGGTAGTACTGGGACAAGCTGAGTTCAAGGTAGTTGGACCCTGATGGTGAATCACTCAATAGTAAGTCATCACCCTATGTACCTGTTCCTGTGTGTCTTGTGTCTCTAGGACAGGGGCATAGCACAGGCTGTACATATCTCCTTGAAAAGTGGGGGCCTAGGGGTGAATCACGTGCAGGCATGGGTGTACAGATTTATGACCACTCTTACTGGTCCTTTACAGAAGATGCCAAGTTGGCAGATAGTATTAAAATCGAGGTCCAGATTCTCCATTCTCTAGCTTATTATTGTGTCCAGTGTTGAAAAAGAAAATTTTTTTCTTGTTTATAGCATCTAAAGTTTTCTAATTTTTTTTAAAGATTTATTTATTTTGAAAGTGACAGTTAAGAGGGGGAAGAGAGAGAGAGATCAAGATTGATCGATTGATCTTCCATCCACTGGTTTTCTCCCCATGTGGCCACTCCTGGCTGGGCAAGGCTGGAGCCAGGAGCTTCATCTGGATCTCTCACATGACTTTAGCCATCTTCCCCTGCTTTTCCCTGGCTGTTATCAGGGAACTGGATTGGAAGTGGAGCAGCCAGGATATAAACTAGTGCCTATATGGGATGCTGGTATCACAGGAGGCAGCTTTACCTGCTGTGCCATGATGCCGGCCCCAGTTTCCTAATTCTTAAGGGGTGAGTCCATGGGGCTAGATGGGGAAGGAGTGGGTTATGGTCCCTGTTTTGCTCAGGCACCCATGGCCCCTGAGGCTCTCTGTGAGCCCATGGACTAAGTTAGATCTGCAGGATCTCAGTCATGTCCTTTGGCACCTCAGGCATTTCTGGGTGCCCCCATGTGGGCTAATTTGGACCTGGTCTTCCAGATCTCAAATAGGATCCTTGGTGATAGAGCGCCTTTGGGCCCCTTGGTGGCCCCTGGGCTTTCTTCGAGGAGGGTGGTTTACAGAGTTGGTTGTGGGAGACTTTGGGCCTTGGTTGTACTGTCTCAGCAAGGCGATGGCCTGCTCGTTGCTTCAGGCATGTTGAAATACTTCTGAAAGGTGTCAGTTGAAGGGAGAGTAGTTTTTGAGTGGAGTGTTCCTTGGAGCACTTGTCAGTCATGTCCCAGGACCACATCCAGATCCTTTGTTCTGGGCTGTACCATGGGGGATGACAACATTGTAATAAACAGTGAAGTAAACAGAACCCCAGGATAAAAGTCGGGGGAGGGAGCAGTCGGTGTCAGGTCATGTAGATATTGGAGCTTGGAACATGAGTGTTTCCAAGTGTGCTTAGGGGTCAGTGGATGACAGGATTTATTTTCCATACATAGGAAGATGCTAAGTGCACAGGAACCAAATATCTCATTGGAAAAGGTGACAGAATATGGCTGGGGAAATCTTCCTTAAGGACCAAAAAGGCTGGAGGTTTAGAAGCATAAGCGAAAGAGAGGCTAGGCAATGTAGGAAGTCCATGCCAGATAGCGATAGGAAAAAAAGAAGACCCTCTGGGCACTGTACTGCTTGGGAACGAGTCCCAGCCACTCTCATAAACCTTCATGAAGGACCAGATTTGCACAGCGTTGGCTCCTGGCCAGTTCCTGGTTGGGTTAAGAGGAGTTGGTCTGAGAGGATCAGAACGAAGTGGAGGAGGAGAGAAAGGCAGAAAGAAATGAAGACCCTCGGCTGGCGCCGCGGCTCACTAGGCTAATCCTCCGCCTAGCGGCGCCGGCACACTGGGTTCTAGTCCCGGTCGGGGCGCCGGATTCTGTCCCGGTTGCCCCTCTTCCAGGCCAGCTCTCTGCTGTGGCCAGGGAGTGCAGTGGAGGATGGCCCAAGTGCTTGGGCCCTGCACCCCACGGGAGACCAGGAAAAGCTCCTGGCTCCTGGCTCCTGCCATCGGATCAGCGCGGTGCGCCGGCCGCAGCGGCCATTGGAGGGTGAACCAACGGCAAAGGAAGACCTTTCTCTCTGTCTCTCTCTCTCACTGTCCACTCTGCCTGTCAAAAAACAAAAACAAACAAAAAGAAACAAAGACCCTCAAGCTCAAGGCGAGGTGATATTTGTTAGAAGAACTCACTGGCATTGTCTGGGTCAGCTTCCAACTCCTGCTCCAAGCTCCTGGCTGGCTCACCGCTGATGTTGTGAGGTGGATGGGTCTAGGTGCTTTTCTTAATTCCAAGAGGGAGTTGAAGGATAGGTGCAGATCCAGGTCAGCAGAGAAGCAAGGTTCATTTACACGGTGAGGGCAAGTGTGACGAGAGAGAAAGCAAGCAGGCTCAGGGCAGCTGCTCAGCAGGCTTTGTGGCCATCCCTTTGTGTGTGCTGAGAGGCATACAGGGTGGTGTTTGGAAGGAGACTTACTGAATATTCAAAGAGGGTGGAGTCTGAGGCTAGACAGAGTGCCACCCATTTCCTTGTGCTTTTTTTGGAAATCTTTGAAGTGTTATACATCATGGGTGGGGGAGTACCAGTCAAGGAAATTTTATTATAATGACATTGTAATGAGCTGAAGGTCATACCAGGGATGCACTTGCGGCCATAGTGGATATTTTTTTTTTTAAATATTTATTTATTTATTTATTTGAAAGTCAGAGTTATAGGGAGTGAGAGAGAGAGAGAGATCTTCCATCTGCTGGTTCACTCCCCAAATGGCTGCACCAGCCAGGGCTGGGCCAGGCAGAAGCCAGGAGCTCCATCCTGTACCCACGTGGGTGCAGGGGCCCAAGCACTTGGGCCATCCTCTGCTACTTTCCCAGGTGCATTTGCAGGGAGCTGGATCGGAAGTGGAGCAGCCGGGTCTTGAACCCGTGCCCATATGGGATGCCGGCACTGCAGCTGGAGGCTTAATCTGCTTCGCCACCACGCCAGCCCCCATAGTGGATATTTTTAGTTGGCACTAACTAGTTCTGAGTGGCGGAACAGTGGAAGTGCAGTTTTCACTCCACGGAAGGAGGGTGATTGGTGGTGCATGGAAGCAGGGGCTTGGGCAGTGCAGGGGAGGGAGTGGAGGGTTTGGGTGGTTCACTAAAGGGGAGTTTGAGCAGTGCAGGCAGGGCTGCAGGGCCGTGCTGGCTTAACTCCTCTCTTCTGTGTTTGCTGCCTCCTTCAGTATGAACTCATTGTTTTGATTTGCTAAGTTAATTTGCATTTCCCTAATGATTAGTGGTGTTGAGCATCTGTTCGTGTACTTGTCCATTTGTATATCTTTACAGGAATATCTACTGAAGTCCTTTGTGCATTTTTAGATTGGGTTGTGTGTGTTGTTCAAGGTTCCATTTTTTTTTTTTTTTTTTTTTCCTTTTTGACGCGCCAGAGTTTTTGACAGTCAGAGTTTTGACAGAGAAACAGAGAGAAAAGTCTTCCTTCTGTTAGTTCACCCCCCAAATGGCTGCCATGGCCGGCGCGTTGCACCGATCCGAAGCCAGGAGCCAGGTACTTCCTCCTGGTCTCCCACACAGGTGCAGGGCCCAAATACCTGGGGCATCCTCCACTGCCTTCCCGGGCCACAGCAGAGAGCTAGACTGGAAGAAGAGCAACTGGGACTAGAACCCCAGGCTGCCAGCGCCACAGGCAGAGGATTAGCCTAGTGAGCCTTGGCGCCAACCAAGGTTCCATTGTTTCTTAACTCAGGGTAGATGATGTTTATCTTAGGCATAAAAGAGGAAGGGTTTGCTTTGAAATGTCTTGGATCTGTTGTTTACATACATGTAATGTAGAAAGATTTGTACAAAATTCATGTATATATTGTAACTTTGGAAGCATGTATTTTTCTTCCCTGTTTTTGATTTTTGTTTACCCAGTGGTATAAAACCACTGCCAAAAATGTTTCTCCCCCTGTTTAAAAGACTGTAAAAATAATAACTAAGTTAATAGTTTCTCTAAAGGAGCAATTTTCCTGCAGTTACCACTTTTGGACCCAGGCTTGGGGCTTGCAGATTCCCTAGAAGCCTGACCTGAGATCTTTGGAACCCAGCAGCTGCCCCCACCTGCCTAGGCAATGCCTGGTGGAACTGAGTTGGCTCCACTGCAGAGCCTGTTGGTGTGTGGAGCCCGCCAAGGGGTCTGGGAGCAGATCTCTAGGACACCATAACAGCAGCCTGAGGCTCTTCCCTCCCTGTGGGCAGAGTCGAGTCAGAGTGCAGGCTCCCTGTGTTTACCTGGTGCCTGCTCCACCTCATGAGACCATGGGCAGCCTCCCTTCTCCTTCCAGGTTTTCATTTTGGGTGCCAAAGGCACTCTGGGTCGTCTTCAGTGTGTTTGTTATGTCCATGAGAAAAGGTGTTTCTGATCCAAAGCGTCACATTCATGATCTGAATCAATGACAGCAAACTAGCCTAGGAGTGGTGTGTGTGTTTCCAAGTGCACCTTGCTTGTCTCGATGGTGACAGCCAGTGCCGGTGCTGATTGCTTGTCCTGACAGTGATAGAGTTACGTGTCAATCTCAACTCTCCTACTAAAGTGAACACTGGTGAGGGGAAAGGGGCTTGTATATGATTTTTATGTTAAAACGTGATGATGAAGAGATAGACAACTTTAGTGTCCTAGTTTGAGTGCCAGCCCCACATCCTCTGCCAGCCAGCTGGGCTCAGTAGTGTCTGCTTCCTCAGCTGCTCACTGGACATCACCCCAGTCACCAGGGTGTAAAAAGTGAAAACAGTATACATCTTTAGTCTTGAGGTTGTGGACTGCTATTTACAGTTGTTGGTTCCTTGTTTTTTACTATGAAGAAGAAACATTTTTTTTAAAGAGTTTCAACTCCATCCAGTTTCCTTTTTTTAAAAAAAGGTATTTTTATTTTTAAGTTACGGGGCGAAGGTGGGTAGTGGCGCGGAGGGGTATCTATCTTCTTCCCCGGGTTAATTCCCCAAATGGTTGCAGTGGCCAGGGCAGGGCCACGCGGAAGCTAAGAGCTGGGCTTTTTCCAGGTCTCTAACATGGGTGCAGAGGCCCAAAGACTTGGGCCATCTTCTGCTCTTTCCCAGGTGTAGTAGGAGGGAGCTTGGATAGGAAGTGGAACAGCCGAGCGTGGACCTGGCACCCACACTGCCATTGCAGTCGGAGTCTTAACCTGCTATGCCGCGATGCTGGCCCCAAGAAGAAACTTGAAAGAAGAGCTTTTCACGTTGTTTAGTTACTGCTTTCTGATCTTATTTCCATGTTTCATAAAAAGAAATAGTGGGAAACTTTAAATTCAAGCACTTACATGGTGAAGCTGCGTGATTTTTGGTGATGCTGGTGAGAGGATGCACAGTGCACAGAAGAGGGCAGACGTGCTGCCCAGGCGTGCACACTCATCCGTGCAGGTGTCACTCACTCGCTCCCGGAATTTCAGAGTTTTGCTTACCATCTCTGTTATTTTTGATCATTTTGATGTCTGAAGCAGCCTGGCAACAACATCAGAATGCTTGGGAAATTCTCAAATGTTCTTGACATGTTCTGGGTAACCCTCCCCCAGGACTAGGAAACATCTGAGGTTTCTCTAAGTGAAAACCCTGTATTCCACATTTCCCTTGTAATTTTGAGCCCATGATTGTTGTTAACCAGCACCTTCAGAACTTAATGTCATGTTTTTGTTTTGGGTTCCTGAATTGTAAATCAAATATTTATTGCATTCTCTTAAAAAGAGAAACCAAAGGAAGATCTCTCTGAAAAAAATATTTTAATAAAGTGTACCTTTATTTCAGTATCCTGAATAGTGAGAATGAAGAAGTTTTCAGTAACGAAGAGCATGAATATGCATCCAAGAAAAGGAAAAAGGACCATTTTAGAAATGATGCAAATTCTCAAAGTAAGATGATTTCATTAACAACTTTCGACATTTTCCTTAAACAGCTTGATGTTCTGAGTTGTTTTGGCAGGGCTGGCTTATGAAGGTAAGGGGAGGCAGGTGTGTCAGTGGCAGCTCTGAGTCCATGTGGCCACTGATGTGTGACTGCAGCCCACTTGCCGAAGTTGGAAGGTGTGCAAATGGCCCCATTATGGCCGTAAATTCAGTTCATTCCTGAGCAGTAAGGCGAAACCTAGCAGTCTTGACGGGATAGGGTCACTGGATATTGGGAGCAGTGTGGTTGGAGCAGAGATTGGAGGCACTGCATTTGGTGTGGGATGGGGGAGCCGGGAAGGCAGAGGTCCTCCATCACCACACAGCTATGCATCACCACAACTATCTGCTTTACACACTGCCTGAGGACCTTGGGAGCGTGACCACACGCACTGCCTCAAGTCAGCACAACTACCACTGTGCTAGGACACACACAGCCTGAAGTCCACACTTCTTCACATCGCTGGGACTGTCACTACACTAGCTCACGCATTGCCTCATAGCACTGTGATGACTGTCACCATACTGTCATACGTACAACCTGACATCCCAGGGATTGTTACCACCCTGCCTCATATCACACAGCTGCCACCACACTGGCTCACGTTACTGTGACTGTCACCTCATTGTCTCATATCGTGATCGTCACTGCACTTCCTCACATCCCTGAGACTGTCGCAACACTGCCTCACGCATCGCCTCACATTGCTGCAGCTGTCATTGCACACTGCCTGACGTCACTGTGACTGCCTCCTACACAGCCTCACGGCACTGGTAATGTCACCACATTGCCTTCCATCACTCCAACTCACCATACTACCGCATGCACTGCCTCACATCACTGGACCCTTTGGAACTTGAGTTATATGAGAATTGTGTTTCTAGGGTGAAAGAAGACTAGAACTCTTTTTAAGGTACATAATAGCTTATGAACAATTTAATTGCATTTGTATAAAAATATGTTTCTATTTGACTACAGTCATTATTGACACCAACTTTCTTCTAAGGTGCTAGATCTTGATGCTCCTTTAAATTATTTTCCACATAAGAGTGCTTCAGTGCTTTTGAAAATAATGCCAGCAAACTAAGCAATACCATTTATATTTACTAAGAAAACCAGCTATTAATATAGTCAGTCATAAGACTGACAGTTATTGAAATATTTTAAATCTTCATTTTGAAGTGATTTGCCAGATATAAAAAAGTTAATTTTTATTCTAGGTTTTTATCGTGAAAAATGGATCTATGTCCATAAAGAAAGCACAAAAGAAGTAAGTACTGTGTCATAGCATACATCTTCTGTCGTTTCTGATAAGTATGTAACATCACATTAAATAAATTCCTCAGCAATGTCAAATCTGTGCTCCCTTTCCAACTGTTGAACGCATACCAGAACTTTTAAAGCACATTATATGGGGAGCGGTAGTGGTTTATGTGTAATGCGTACATGGTCAGTCTGTGGTGTGTGTAGTTCATGTGTGTGTGGTGTATTCAGCATATGGTGGGTGTACAGGGTGAATACTGTGTGGGGTATGTGAGTGTAGTGATTGTGATGTGCTGGCTGTGCATGATGGGGGTGTGGTTATGTGGTGTGATGGGTGTGTATTGAATGTATGTGTTTCTTTTTTTTTTTTTTTTTATTGACAGGCAGAGTGGACAGTGAGAGAGACAGAGAGAAAGGTCTTCCTTTGCCGTTGGTTCACCCTCCAATGGCCGCCGCGGCCAGCGCGCTGCGGCCGGCGCACCGCGCTGGTCCGATGGCAGGAGTCAGGAGCTAGGTGCTTTTCCTGGTCTCCCATGGGGTGCAGGGCCCAAGCACCTGGGCCATCCTCCACTGCACTCCCTGGCCACAGCAGAGGGCTGGCCTGGAAGAGGGGCAACCGGGACAGAATCCGGCGCCCCAACCGGGACTAGAACCCGGTGTGCCGGCGCCGCTAGGCGGAGGATTAGCCTAGTGAGCCGCGGCGCCGGCCGAATGTATGTGTTTGTATGTCAGGTACAAGTATGTGTATAGTATGTCAAGTACAAGTGTGTATAGGGTGTGTTTAGAGTGTTCATGGGGCTGTGCAGTGTGTAGTGTGTGTAGGGTAAGAGTTGGGTGTACAGTGTGGGAGTATGGAGTGTGTGTGTGTGCTATGTGTCACATGACTGGGTTGTGTCAAGTGTGAGGGGTGTGCAGTATGGGAAGTGGTAGTGTGTGTCAAGTGTGTGGGCTTTGTATATGTGAGTCAGATGTGAATGTGGGGTATAGGGTATGTATAGTGTGTTGGGTGTGAGTGTGGGATATGTGGTGTGTAGTGTGTCTGGTGTGAGTGTGTGATGTGTCTGTGAAGGGGTATATGAATGTGTGCTGAATATCTGTGTGAGGTATGTATGTAATGTGTACCAGGTATTGGGTGTGTGTGTGTTGGGTTTGTTTGTGCCTTGAGTGTGTGTTGGTGTGGGTTGTATAGCATCAGGTGTGTGTAGTATGTTTTGGTGTGAATATGGGATATAGTATTGGGTGAGTGTGAGGAGTGTGTAGCATGTTGCGTGGGAAGCGTGTCTTGGGTGTGTGGTATGTGTAGGGTATGACAGGTGTGAGAATGTGAGGTGTGTAAGTGACAGGATTGAATGTGCAGTGTGTATGTCAGGTTGTATTGGATGTGAGTGTGAGATGTGTGTCAGGTGTGAGGTGTGTTAGGTCTATGTGGGATGTGCATTCATGGGTGTGTGTGTCAGGTGTCTGATGTGTGGGTATGAGTATGTGGTGAGTATATATGTTGGGTATAGTGTGCAGGTTGTGAGTGTGACATGTTAGAGATCTGTAGTGTGCAGTGGGTGTAGAGTTTTGGTGTGTGTGATATGAGCATGTAAGGTGTGTGTTGGGTGTGATTCTGAGTGCGAATTGTGTTGAGTGTGTCGAGTTTCTGTGGTGTGCAGGGTGTAAGCGTATGGGAAGTGCATTCACATGTGTGCAGCACCTGGTCCTCTGGCCATGGGTTCCTTCTTATGGAGCCCCCAGAGCTCGCTTCCTCGGTGAGGGTGCCTGGTCCTCCCTCTGCAGGGAGCCTGCTGTGCAGTTTGAACTCTGCCTTTCTCTTGCCGAGTTGGCTAACTTTTATGATCCGTGAAGCAAACTAGTTTATTTCAGCTGCTTTCTGCTCGCCCGTATTGGGCAAGCTTGGTCCCTTTCACAGTCCTGGAAACTCTGCGTTGGCTTTATCCTGTGGGAGCAGGTGTCCGTCATGTTGTGTCATGCTAGGGAAAGCCAAGCTGTTCTGACACTAGCTCTCCATCCTAGCAAGTCTGCTTGGTGATGGTCACTTCCTAACCTGCAGGGGAAGGTTGTTTGGCAGGCTAACCTCGTTTGTACCACAAAGCTGAGTGCTAAGACAGACTGTGACATGTGTCCATGCCTGACCACAGGACAGAGTCCCCACTGGTGCAGCAGGTGAGGCAGGGATGTTCCATGAGTCCTGGGAACAGGGATCTGACTGGGAGCCCACTGGTCTGGAGGTCAGGGTGCAGCTCCGGCTCTCTCACCTGCTGTGCCCACACGGCTGCCCCACGGGCCCCCACGGACATGGTGTGGTGTCAGTGGTTCTGGGCCCCTGCAGGGGCAGACTGCTCGCTGGGATCCACTCTGTGAGGGAGGCTGCCTCCTCCGTGTCTGTGCACCCTCGGCCATGGTTCTGTGTTCTTGGGAGGACACAGAGTAAACATGTGTGCCGTCATATGTGGATGCGTTTCACTGACATGCACACGGTAGGACTGCTGTTGACTACTACAGTACACCTGTGACTGAGACCGAGGACGGCCTTGTCTCGCCCCCACGTCCCTGCTGACTGGAATTCTAGGATGAGCTGTTGCCCCGTGTCCAAGCCGTGCAGAGATCTGAGGATCACGTTCTTCCCAGTTCGTGCTGTCGCAACTCTGAACTGAAAATCTCTGCCTTTAGTATTTCAGATAGAGAAGTTGCAGTTTAGAGTGACTCCTAAGCCTAACATGCAAATCTGTAGAAAAGGAAAATCCCAGACCAGAAGAGCACTTGCTTTTTCTATTCTTGGGTCTGATTTTCGCTTCTTTGGGTTTTTGGTGCTCAGCACCGTGGTGCCAGCCTTGCATGGCCATGCCTTCCACATGGCCGCTGGCCACCCAGGGGCCTCTCCAAGAATCCTGGTGTCCACACATGCTCCCAGCACCCACACCTTACACTAGGGCTGTGCAGGTCATCTGTGTCTTAGCAGAGGATGTCACCAGGTTTTTATGGTCTTAGGCTTAATGGAGTCTGCCTCAGTCTGTCTCCAGCAAAATAAACCAACAACGTTTAATAAATGTTTGCTGTGTTATTGTCTCATCAGTGGTCTAAAAAAGTCAGTTGAGGCATCACATCTTGCTTATGCATAAGTAGCTTAAATTTAGTACTGCTATGATTTTACTCTCCTCTAAACCTGGGATAAATCTTCAGAATAAAAACAAATGTCCCTTGCCAGTTTGTTGAAACGCATGTGTGCATTTTAGTTGCCATTGCCTGTTGGCTTGTTCCGACAGTCGACTGACCTAGCTCCCCTGTGCTGCTTCCCAGAGGCACGGCTACTGCACCCTGGGAGAAGCCTTCAACCGGCTGGACTTCTCGAGCGCCATCCAGGACACCCGGAGGTTCAACTATGTGGTGAAGGTAAGTGTTCCTCATAGGAACTATGCTTTGAAGTTTATATATGTGAGGGTGTCAGATGCCTCTGGTAGCTTCACAGAGCTATGCTGTTTGCTGTGTTGGACAAAAAGTGGAGTGGGTTCAGGAGGAACATTGGGAACTGAAGATCCTGATGGTGTTGCCTGGAGACAGTGGCTGCAGCTGAGCCAATCAGCAGCCAAAAGCTTCTTCCAGGTCTCCCACAAGGATGTAGGGGCCCAAGCACTTGGGCCATCTTCCACTGCTTTCCTAGGCCAGAGCAGAGAGCTGGATCAGAAGAGGAGCAGCCAGGACATGGATTGGTGCCCATATGGGATACTGGTGCCACGGGCTGAGGCTTAGCCTACTACACCACAATGCTGACCCCTTAAGACAGCTTTTCATGTAGAGGTTTTATTGCATTAATAATAGTTACCTGAAATTTTTATCTTGGGCTGCATTTGAGAGGTTGCATGCTTGAGCCTGTTGGCATTTGTCATTTGCTGTCTTTGTCTGGAGGCTGATTACTGTGCAGCCCACTCTCCTTTTGTTGGAGGTGAAGTGAGAGTTAGGGTGTGTGGGATCATCAGTTCTGGGCTTCAGTGTGGCTGTGAGACCTTGGGAAAATTTCTCCCACAACTTCTGAAAGTGTTCCTGGGAGGCAAACAAAAGGGGTGAGTGAAGGGAAGCCCCAGGGCGTTGATCCCCTCAGTTTTTAGTCCCAGGCAGAATATTCCAAGGCATGGCCATGGCCCCTGCGTGATGGATGCCCAGCCGCCGTGCACGTGTCTAGGCTGTTCCCTCCTGGGTTTTCGGTGATGGCTCCACCGCCCCTCAAGTGCGTGTTGCAGGTGGGGAGACTGAGCCTTGTCTCAGCTGTGGGAACGTTCAGGAATCAGGTCAGCAGAGAGGTCTGACAGGGAGCGCTTCTACATGCAGCCTTCCTGAAGTGGGTTTAGAAGCAGTTATTGGCCACTGTGGGTGGAAGATGTGGCTTGGCATCTCAGGGTTGACCGGGGGAAGGTTCAGTGCCCCATGTTGTGCAGGGGCCCTCTGCAGGCCAGGGCTGGGTCTCTTGTCCATTCTGTCCTGTGAACCCCTTGGTGATTTTGCTGTGTCCATGTATCATACGCTGCTGTCCTTTATCAGGTAACTGGTAACTTTTCTTCAGGTTTACCTACTTAGCTTGATCCTGCAGATTATACCTGTCCATGTGAGATGAATACCTGACCGGGATCCAGAAGTTGTGCTGTGCACCTGTGTCCCGGTCTCTGCTTGCAGCATGGGAAGCTCTGTCCCTCGGGACCACCTTCCAGTGGTGGGAGGGGGAGCTGGTGAGTTTAAGAGGTTGCTGGGGACTGCTGGCTTCAGAGCCTTTCTCCCCAGGTCCTGCGGAGTTTTCCCAAATTGATGTGATCACGCTGCCTTCTGCTGAAAACCAGACCAAACCCTCCTGTGACGACATCCATGATAAAGCTGGTGCTTCCCCTGGGCCTGGCCTCTGGGACATTGCCCACTCCTCCACCATTGCGCCCAGGGCCCCCGAGTTGTCTTCTGCTCTCAGCTCTGCACTCCACACACTGCCGTGTCTCCAGGGGGCCATGTGGCTCTTTGAGCCAGCCACACTTGGTGTGGGACTTGGTTATTTCTTCACAACACGCCTGAGAAGCTTTGATACTGGAAGAGAGTGTCAGATCCAGTGTAGTGTAGTTCTGATCCTGGAAGCAGGTGATTCTCAGCTGCTGGCCCATCTTCAAGCACTCTGCTCATTTGTCCCGTTGATGAGTCTTGTCCAGCACCTTCTGTGTTGAGCACTGGTATGCCATGCCTCTGGAGTCCTGTGTCGGGTTCCCTGTAGCATTAGCATCTCTTGGCACATGTGCCAGTGAGGCCAGCTAAACTCACCAGGCATGGTGTCCTGCAAGATGATCACAGCGATCCGGCTGGGGCCTGGGCGGCCGGGGCCCGACCCTCTACCCTCCAGACTGTACTGCCGACCACCTCACGTGAGGACCCCAGCATGAGCCCAGGGGAGCAGGGATGTGGTCTGTTCTCAGGTGAGCCCATCAGAGTGGGCGGCTCAGCACAGGTGGGTGAGCTGTGTCCATCTGTTAGGCTGTGGGCTAATGTGGCTGCATCTTTTATTTAAAGATTTATTTATTTATTTGAAAGGCAGAGTTACAAAGAGGCAGATGCAGATAGAGAGAGGTCTTCCATCCACTGGTTCACTCTCCAGGTGGCCGCAATGGTCATAGCTGTGCCAATCTGAAGCCAGGAGCCAGGAGCATCTTCTGGGTTTCCAACATGGGTGCAGGGGCCCAAGCACTTGGGCCATCTTCTGCTCTCCCAGGCCACAGCAGAGAGCTGGATTGGAAATGGAGCACCCAGGACTCGAACCAGTGCCCAGTTGAGATGCTGGCTCTGCAGGCAGTGGCTTTACCCACTAAGCCACAGTGCCAGCCCCAGTGGCTGCGTCTTTATTTAGCCCTTTGTGGTCTTTTCCTGTAGCACTGAGAGCAGCCAGCCGCACCTCACTTGGGCAGCTCTGACCACAGGTTGCCCACTGGGGGCTGAGGAACAGCCCAGGTGTGGTGCGGACATGCTGAGAACTGCTCTCTGTGACAGCTGACCTCTTAGGTGTGTTCACTGTGTGGTATTTGCTGAGGTGGATGCATCTGGAGTCCGCACTGTAGCCCTGAGGTGCCCCACCCTGTTCCCTCCCCTTAGGGCGGCATAGCTCTGCTTCCATAGCTGGGCCTTCATGGAGGTGCGATAATGTGAAGCTCTCGGAGCCGACTGTCGGCTGCTACGTTGGTCGTCTTTGAGGATGGTTCAGGCAAAGCGTTAGCGGTGTGTGCAGACCCATTGCAACCCTAGTGGGAGGAGAGCAAGGACAGTGCCCACATGCTCCATCCTGACAACAAGCGTCGCCCTTGCTCTGTGGCCTCTCTGATGGGCAGCGGGGCTGTCATAGGCACAGCATGGGGTGGCCACGCAGGACTGGTCACACTGCTAATCAAGCCTTTCCTGCTTTGCTGAACTGTATCTCAAGGGAAAATCAAATGCTAACTTAGCATCCCATGCACTTGACAAATAGTAGGTATTTTTATTCCTAAGTTGAATGAATGAACAAACTATGTTCACATGGATTTTTTTCAATTATTTTTTACCACTGTTGGGTATCGTCCATAAATTCACACAGATTCAAATGACCCCCCAAGTCCCACCAGTAGCATGAGCAGTGGCTGGACGCCTTGGGTGCTTGGCTCTGGCTGGGTACGGGTGCTACCTCTCTTCAAGAAAGCTTGGCTTCTTGGGTTTGGCGCTGTAGTGCTGGCATCCCATGCCGTGCCAGTTCGAGTCCTGGCTGCTCCTCTTCTAATCCAGCTCCCTGCTGATGGCCTGGGAAAGCAGTAGAAGATGGCTTCAAGTGCTTGGGCCCCCATACCCACGTGGGACACCTGGAAGAAGCTCCTGCCTCCTGATTGGCCAGCTCCAGCCATTGTGACCATTTAGGGAGTGAACTAGCGAATGGGAGACCTCTCTCTCTCTCTCTCTCTCTCTCTCTCTCTCTCTTTACCTCTCTAACTCTGTCTTTCAGATAAATAAATCTTTAAAAAAAAAAAGTTTGTACAGAAAATGCACGTCTTCATGTTTGTCGTGCTTGTCGAGTGTGGACTCAGGGATGGAGTGCAGAGCCCTTCGTTAGGTCCGGTGTTCCTCCTCAAGAGTGGCTTGGCCTCCCTCCCACGCCTCTGGTCTGTTTCTGACTTCAGTCTGTGGCGCAGGTGCCACGGGGCCTCTGAATGGGAGGATGGGCTGGGGGCGGCATCTCAGAGGACCACGGGAGCAGCCAAGTGGGAGTGGGACAGACGTGGGGCTCAGGAGCCTGCCCACTGCCTCTGCCCTCACTTCTGTCCTGGGAGTGGAATAGAGCTCGTGAGTTATCTGTTTCCTGTCTCCTCTCAGGAGTAAACGATTTTGTATTTTCTGGTCTGTTTCTCTCGTGCCCTCAGCCTGTGGGAAGATGCCTCCTTGGGCAGTTTGGGGAATTCAGGGAAACCCGTGGGTGGAGAAGGAGGCTGTATCACGCAAGAGAGCCCTCATGACATCCCCTGGGCTGCACTTCTGGCCTCACCACGTCAGCTTCTACTGCAGGACACTGAGGCAACCTGTCTTGAGTCCTGGTATGAGCTGACCGTAAGCAGCACCTGCCCAGTTGGCGGTGCCAGCAGGGGGTTCCAGTAGCGCTCGACTAAGCGGGGAAGCCCTGGGACAGGCTTGAGGCCTGAGTGGTTCTCTGTGAGCTCAGTGCCATCTGCTCCATGTGTCTGGAGGGCTTGCTGTAACCAGCCTGGCATTACCTGTGGCTGTTGCAGGAGAGTGCTGGAACTTCCTCCTGCTGGAGGGTGGGAAAGAATGGGACTCATGTGTGCCAGGCTTAGCAGAGGCAGCTGAGGCACAGATGAGAGTGGGCCAGGCTTGGCGGTGCTCACACCTTGTTAGCGGAAGGCAGAGGCCGCTGTGCTGAGCCCCTGCTCAGCGGGAGGAGCGAGACTGCAAGGACAAGGGCTGGCAGCAAAGGGCTGCCCAGGCCCAGATGTACTCAGAGATGGGCTGTGTGGCTGCTCCTGGGATCCACACAGGAGAAGCAGCAATGGGGCAGGAGCCACCGAGACAGTGGCCTAGAGCCACCCTGGCCCGGCTCTGACCTCCTACAGGATGGCTGCCATGCCCAGGGGAGTCGGCTGTAGCCCTGATGTTACCCTTTGGGCAGAGTGCAGAGCCTGCAGGCAGGAGGAGTGCCGAGACAGCTGTCAGGCAGCAGGCTGGGCACAGGAGCACGGTTGTACAGAGGGTCCCGGGGCAGAAGTGCTGCAAAGGAGAGGGAGCTGTTGAAGCAGACGTCACGTGGGTGCAGGACTCAGGGAGAGTGTTGGAGATGATGGCAGTGACACCAAGCTTAAAGGGTCAGAGGGTCACAGTACCCAGGACTGTGAGGGGGTGGGGCATGGGTACCACTGGGACAAATGTTCTAGAAAACTTCTCGTGGTATGGAATAGACTTGGGTCTGTGCCTACAGAGGGAGCCCTGCCCAGGGGGTCCTTCACCTCTGGAGGGGACCGAATCCCTCCTGGGGAAAGCCATCAGGGTCCTCCAAGGGTGCCCCTGAGGTCATGGCCAGCCCCCGTTCTGCTCTGCTGCCAGGCCACAGACAGCATGAGAACTTGGGGTATTGTTCTCATGTGTTTCTGAAGAAGCTGACTTCCCCATCTAGAGGTGGTTGGAGAAACAGGCCCCAGGGCAGGACAGTGGTGACAGAGGAGGCCGCATGTGCACAGAGCCAGTCAGCACGGTGCGGGTGGGGCGGGGAGGAGGAGAGCAGTGAGAGCTGCTTCACGTGACCCAGAGTGCTGGGCGTTGTGTGGTTGCAGCCACAGTGGTGACTGCAGGCAGAGTCGTGCATACCTTTGCTAAGTGCCAACCCACAGAAAAACGACATTTTTTAAAGCTACAAAAACAGGAGCCATGAATTAAGACCAACTGTGTGTATCAGTAAATGTGCATGTCATGTCAATGGCTGCTGAAGGTTTTCAGATTGGATCAAGAAGCAAACCACCACCCCCCATCCCCCGCACTTGTGTGTGAGCACACCTGGGAGTCAGCAACTCACGTGGGCAGGAGGGCTGGTGTGCCAGGCAAACTCGAGCAGAAATGCAGGGGAGCAAAAGCGTTAGAGGAGGGCAGTGTGGCTGCAGTGCCCAAGGTGCAGGTGTGCGTGTGCATGTGCAGTGAACTCCAGGGTACACCCCTCCCGTAACAGCCGACCTGTCCTTGTGAGCTCTGTTTCTTTGGTTTGTGGTCATTGTTTTCTAGATAGGCTTCGTTTTCTTGCTTGACCAAAGTGCTGCGTTAAGTTTTAGTCTGGTTTTGCTTTTAAATTCCAAATGGAAGGGCATTTTAATTTTCTGGTTTCTGGTCATCAGAGAACAGTGATTCTGGCCTAGTCCTGGACAGATGCCTGTCGGTGGCCAAACATCCCTCAGCCTCCTCCTGGGTGCCCTGCACAAGGGAGGTTGGGAAACTAAAAAATGCATCTGAGGCTCCCCTGCAGCCAGGGACTTAGGCTGGTAACCCCACGCCCGGCAGGCATCTGTTCTCCCCAGGTTAGCACTGAGGGTGAGCATCCCCTGCCAGCACCACTTGGAGAAGTCTCCTCACTGATGTGCGATGCACTTTGCCGTGGATTCTGTGTTGCTCACTCTTCCACTCTTGCCTTTCAGCTGCTAGAGCTCATTGCAAAATCCCAGCTAACGTCACTGAGTGGTGTGGCACAAAAGAACTACTTCAACATCTTGGATAAAATTGTTCAAAAGGGTAAGATGACCACTGGTATTTTAAATCTAAATCCTAACTAGAACTGTACGTGCCTGCCATGCCCCAGCGGCATTCCGTTTGCTGGCTGGCTGGTCACAGCTGTTAAAGCCGATCTTGCGATTGAGCCACGAGTGTGATGGGAAGGCGCCTGCTCGCAGAGCCGGAGGAGGCTGTTCCACGTTCACTGCCAGCCAAGCTCCATGCAGCTCTGAGTCTCCATGGTCAGCAAGGTTGTGACTTACACATTTAGGCATCCAATAAGCCAGTAATTTTCCTTTTAATTTAACAAGCTTGCTTGATTAATTAGTGGTTATTAGTACATTGAACTTTCAGATTACACGCCACATGTCCACAATCGTTATTAATCCTCTTTATGATAAAAGCAAAAGGAAGTATAAACCATTTAATGGCAAAACTATAGACTCCACTGAAAAGTACTATCAGACATACTGGTGATATCTTAAAAGAGACATCACTTGTGGGTCACTCTGAAGTGTGATCCTGGTTTCCCACTGTTCGCAGCCCTTGGGCAGTGGCTGGTACACTCACCTTGTGGTGTGACTCACCAGCCTCCCTCCCCAGAGCAGTTTCTCTTCCCAGAGTCCGAGTTCCATTGAATGGCAACTCCCCTGTCCCCCTTGCCCGAGCCCTGGCCCCACTCTGCCTCCTGTGTGTGGATTCGGTGCCTGTGGGCCCCTGTGACTGGCGTGGTTCATGGAGGGTGATGTTCTCAGAGGTCCCTGGCATTGGAGCAGCGCCAGAGCTCCCGTCCTTTGTGCGGCTGAGTAACGTCTTGTTGTGGACGGGCCACGTGGTGCTGTCTCACGGGTATCTGGCTGCACGTTTGGGTGGCCCCACTCATGGTTTGTGTAAGGAGCTGTGCTATCTCTGGCTCTGTTTTGTGCATCCAGTTCTCAGGGACCACCACAATCCTCGCCTCATCAAAAACCTCCTGCAGGACCTGAGCTCCACCCTCTGCGTTCTCATCAGAGGGGTTGGCAAGTCCGTCTTGGTGGGGAACATCAACATCTGGATTTGCCGGCTGGAGACCATTCTGTCCTGGCAGCAGCAGCTGCAGAACCTCCAGATGGCAAAGGTGAGGGACTGTGCCTGCTGTGTAGACAAAGTCACCTCCAGATGATGAAGGTGAGGGTCTGTGCCTGCTGTGTAGACAAAGTCGCCTCCAGATGAGGATGACGAAGGTGAGGGTTTCCCGAGCCAGAATTCACTGCACCCAGCTGTGTAGACAAAGTCATGATCCCTTCTAAGCAAACATGAGCAACTGTTGCAGTCATTTCAAATATATTCATTAAGTTGTCGTAAAATATAATAGGACCAAGAGATGGCATTAATGGTTCACAGGTTTACTGGGAAGGCAGCAAGGGTGGGAAGCGTTGAACAGGTTGATACTCGGGGTACTGAGGTGTCAAATGCTCATCTTCAGAGGACACTGCTTCAGGCTGAACAGGCACCCAGTCAGGGAAGGTCAGGCTGTCCGAGCAGCTGTCAGTCTAGGTGCTGCCTCGTTCCCCTTGCTGCTGTCCTTTGCTGGGTGCCTGCAGCTCTTTGAGAAGAGTGAGCAAGGAAAGAAAGTGCAGCTCCTGTTGTTGGTGTTGATCTTCTTTAATGCTAGAAATAATTTCAACAAGAAAAATGGTAGTAGAACCAACTAAAGTCTTTAACTTGGCTTCTTGTTTATTTCTATACTGAATCACAGAAAGACCTCCACAAACATCAGATCTACAGGTGCTCAAGTCCTTGGTAACATGGCCTCCTTTGTACTGTGTTTTTATTTTTCAGTTTGATCTATGTGGGCGTCTGTTCTTGGACAACATAATTATACATATTCACGGGCACAGTGTGACGTGTGATTGGGCTAGAGAAGTGGCGTATCTGTCACCTTCTCCTGACTACTTCAGAGAGTCCACTGCCATGCTGTGAGCGTGGTGGCCTGTGCCTCCTGCCTGGGACTCTGTGTTGCCTGCTACCTCCCCTGTGCAGCCTCTGCTGACCAGTGCTCTGCTCCCAGCTTCTCACATATGTACTGGCCTCTGACCTGGCTCATGTCACGTGATGTGACGCCCTCTAGATTTATCCAAGTCACTCAGTGACAGAATCTCAGCTTCTCTGTGGCTGGGTAGTGACCCATCCTGTGTGTGGCCTCAGTGTTGGCATGGGGTCTGGGTAGTGACCCATCCTGTTTGAGGCCTCAGTGGTGGGCGTGGGGTCTGGGTAGTGACCCATCCTGTTTGAGGCCTCAGTGGTGGGCGTGGGGTCTGGGTAGTGACCCATCCTGTGTGTGGGCATGCCTCCATGTACACTCTCAGTGGTAGGCACAGGTGATGCACTGCTGCTGTGAGGTGCAGCAGTGACCTCGGGTTTTTACTCAGGCATGGGGACTGTAGTATCCAGGACAGCTCTGGTTGTAAGCTTTCTGAGGATGTTAAACAATTTTATGCTACGAGTTTTGATAACTTAGGTAAAACACACATATTTCCTCAACCCCAATTCAGAAAACTGATATGGAATGAAAAGAAATTTTAAATAGCTCCATATGTGTTTAAGAAATTTAATTCATGTTTAAAGGTTTTATTCCAGAGATGTAACTAAAGGCCTAAATTGTTTCTCTCGTGAATAATTCTGAACATTTATTTATTTATTTATTTGAAAGGCAGAGCTACAGAGATGGAGAGACAGAGATCATCCATCTGCTGGTTCACTCCCCAAATGGCTACCTAAGGCAGGGCAGGGCCAGGCTGAAGCCAGGAGCTTCTTCTGGTCTTGACGTGGTGCAGGGCCCACGTACCTGGGCCTTCTTCCACTGCTTTCCCAGGAGCCTTTGCTGAAGCTGGATGGGAAGTGGAGCAGCTGGGACTAGAACCAGCACCCATATGGGATGCTGGCGCTGCAGACAACGGTTTAACCTGCTACACCACAGTGCTGGCTGCTCTTCTGAACATTTAAAGAAACAGTTGGGCCAGCGCTGTGGCACAGTAGGTTAATCTTCCGCCTGCAGCACTGGCATCCCAGATGGGCACCGGTTCTAGTCCCAGCTGCTCCTGTTCTGATCCAGCTCTCTGCTATGGCCTGGGAAAGCAGTAGAAGTTGGCCCAAGTCCTTGGGCCCCTGCACCCGCATGGGAGACCTGGAAGAAGCTCCTGGTTCCTGGCTTTGGATCAGCACAGCTCTGGCCATTGTGGCCATTTGGGGAGTGAACCAGCAGATGGAAGACCTGTCTCTCTCTTTCACTGTCCATAACTGTACCTCTCAAATAAACAAAATAAAAAGTCTTTAAAAAAAAAAAGAAAGAAACAGCACAATAGTAGGCTCTTTGGGAGAGCAGACAAGGAGCCAGTGCTTTCTAGCTGATATTCAGAGACCAGTCCAATCCAGATATCAGAACCTCATGAGCCCAAGAAAAGCATTTACAGAGCTGCAGTCCCAAAACTACATATGCAGCAAAGCACAGCCAGAAATAAGTGACAGTAGAATCCCCATCTTAAGATGTTTCTTTCTCTTCTCTGCTCCTGCTTCCGAAGGGAACACCTCAGGCGTGTAGCGTGGTGTTCTGGTAATGAAGACGTCCTTCTGTTTCGCTTTGTCATGGAAAGTCCACATTTCCCCTTCATTTCTGAAGGCTAGCTTTGTTGGTGACAGGTTTTTCCTTGGGGACACTGAAGTGGGGCTGCATTGGTGCCTTGGTGCTGTGTTGGTGCCGATTGCCCAGCTGTAGTCAGGGCTGGTGATGTCTGGTGAGGCAGGGTTGTAGGGATGGGCCAGTTTCTCAGGGCTGATTTTCCATTTGCTTCCCAGGTAAGGAAGGTGGGGCTGTCCGGCTGCTGCTGGGGCAGCAGCAAAACAGGGCTTCCCAGCTGTTTGCTGGGCTCCCTGCTGGATGAGCTGTCCAGGGTGCTGTCCAGCTTCTTCCCAGGCTATGGGAGGGGGAGCGTGTCCTCCTGGCTCACCAGGTGGGTTCTGCAGAACTGCTGGGAGCAGCTGCCCCACAGGTGGTGAGACTTGAAGATGATTCCTATAGAAGGTGCCTGGGGCCAGTGAGGGGCCAGTGTGACAGAGGGGGGCAGTGAGGGCAGGGACTGGGCAGCATGGGCAAGGAGAGGGCAGCGTGGGCAGGGACTGGGTAGCGTGGGCTGGGCTCGCTCTCCAGGACAGTGTGGAGCTGTCCTAATCCAGCCTCTCAGGGCCGTCCAGTGGTGTGAGTGGGGCCTGCCAGGGGCCTGCTGCTCACCCTCCTCCCACTGAGCAAAGGCCCTCATGGTCCAGGCGCATCTCAGGAGAGGCAGGAGCAGATGCTGTGGGCTTAGTTCCCCTGGTCACAAGGCCACTGTGTGCTTGCTCTGCAGTGTCCAGCCCTGTGCTCTTTGCTGCCCAGCTCCCAGTGGGTGGGGTCTTCCCCCAGGCTGTGCTGCTGCCTGAGGATCCCAGAGACTCAGTCCCTGGGTACTGGCCTGGGGGCAGGGGCTGTGTTGTCTGCGTGGCACTAAGTTCAGGTCTAGGTCTGGACAGCTCCCATTCCCACTGCCAGGTGTGATGTGTGTCTGGATGTGCTGCTGGGAGCTGGGGCACAGTCCGACTTCTCTTGATGTGGTAAGACCAGGCACTGAGCATCTCACCTGGCTTCCCGGCTCTTACAGGGCTGGACTGGGTGTGAACAGCTCTTCAGCACTGGTATCTCTGGGAGATGGGGGAGTTGCTCTTCCTCTTTCCTGCACACTTCGGGGAATGTGTGGGTGACTGACAGCACCTCACACAGTGCTAGGCACAGTGGTTGTCATGATGACAGGAAGATAACCTGCATGTGCTCAGCAGAGACACATTCCCCCTATATTGTCAGCTCACGGTTAGTGGAACCCAGCTCTGTGTGTCCTGCAGGCACAGGCTGTGTGGCTGCAGTGGTGTGAGTGATGCTGCAGACCGTGCTGCCCTCACACTGCACCCTGGTTCCCCATAGAGGGAGTTGTGAGTGTGAGATTTGCAAGGAGAGAGGTGACTCCTAGTTATGACTCTGAAACACACACCTGAAATCCAGCAGTCAGCAGCACTGGGAGTAGAGGAAGTACACCTGCCTCCTCTTCCATCCCCCTCCCCTCCCACCCCCGGATATTCCCAGTAGCCCAGCAGCTCTGCCTGCACATGCACAGGTCGGTCACACCAAGAAGCAAGGACCTGCCACCAGGTCCCACTCAGCCCTCGTGTGGTGACCCTTGCCCACAGTAGGGTGTCCATGGGAAGGCAGCCTCCCTGGCCTGGCCAGGAAGTTCTGGGTGGGACTCGGCCACGCGCAGTCCTGGGAGAGAATTGTGGGTGAAGGACAGCCTGGGCCCCGAGAGAGAGCTGTGCAGATCATGGAGGGGAGTCTTCGTCTCAGAACAGGGGTCCCTGTCGTTGGCTGACTGTTCGCGCTCACTGAACAGATGGAGGAAGGGCACAGTACAGTGAGGTCGGCCATTCTGCAGTGGAGCAGTGAGGACAGCACACGAGTATGGCCTCAGGGCATCCTGGGTGCCCCCAGACCTGGCTTGACCCTCTGGGTCTTGCTTCTTGCCCACTGTGCTCCCAAGACACCCTCATGAGCTGTGCCATGGTCTCTGCAGAAGAGGCATTGGTTTGGGATTGAGCTTGGGGCATACACCTTGGACTGTCTGAGCTGCTGGGGCATTTGGCTTTCCTGGGAACACAGTTTGAAACCAGAAAGAGCTCTTTGCAGGATCAGCTAACTCCACTGTGTGTAGACAGGCCGCCAGCCTGCTCTGAGCCTGTGTATGCCACACCTGGTTGGTGCCCATGGGCTGATGGCCACCTGCTCTTTTGCTGTCAATTGGGCAGCAGGGCCAAGAGCTTCCAGGGACCTGGGGGCAGGCAGCCCAGCCGCACAGGGGCAAGGCCTCTGCAAGCTGAGTCTTTTTCCCTTCTAAAGTCTGAATTCTCAGACCCCCAAGAGTAAGCGGAAGCTGAGCACATTTCAGCAGTGCTGAGTTTCTGAGAACACTAGAACCTTCTCCTGGTCCTGCTCCCAAGTTTACCCGCCTGACAGCTCAGCAAGACTGATGCTGTCCGCCCATGGGCCCTAACTGAGGGAGCACTGCATGGATACACGCCACGTGCCCTTGTTCTCAAGCTCCTGGTTTCCTTTTTAAAAAATTTCTTCTAAAATTAATGATTTTTTTAAGATTATTCATTAATTTGAAAGAGTTACACAGAGGAGGAGAGGCAGAGAGAGAGGTCTTCCATCCGCTGGTTCACTCTCCAATTGGCCACAACGGCCAGAGCTGCGCCTAGCAGGAGCCAGGAGCTTCATCCAGGTCTCCCACGTGGGTACAGGAGCCCAAGGATTTGGGCCATCTTCTACTGCTTTAGCAGAGAGCTGGATTGGAAGTGGAGCAGTCAGGATGCAAACTGGCACCCCTATGGGATGCTGGCACTACAGGTGCAGCTTTACCCACTACGCCACAGCACTGGCCCCAGCTTTTTCTAATTTATTGATTGCTTGTTAGAAGTAAAAGTACAACTTACTAGGTTTAAAAGTGAAGTTTTCTAAAATTCTGCTACCTTGTGTTCTGTGTTGGGAGCAGCTCCTGGCCGCATGGTGGCCCAGGGTCTCAGTCACGACTGGCAGTGGTCAATGTCCTGGTAGAGAATACAAAGGCTGCTTGGAGTCCAGAGGCAGAGTGTAGGTGGTGGTCAGCTGTGAGTGTGCACAGGAGAGGGAGGCAAAAGAGGACTGAAAACAACTTAGGCTCTTGTGCTCTTAACCTGGTGCCTTAGTTTTATGACTTTGCTGTTGAAAAAGGCTCGTTTCCATTCTCAGAACAAGCATCAGCTCCTCTGCACCCAGGAGCGCAACACAGGGTTGAGGGGCTGGGGGCCAGGCACTGCCCTGTGTGCGTGTGGATGCCAGTGCTGCACGCACACACTCTGTCTAGGACGGTGTCTTGCAGGCACAGTCGCTGAGGGACACAGGCAGCAGCTTCCTCTCTGCTGGAAGGTGTGAGTGGTCCCAGCAGGTTCCGTCTCCTAGTGCCGTCCCCATGGTTACCTCACTCAGCACTTCCTAGCCCACCTGCTCAGTGTGCACCTCAAGGGACACAAAAGCAGGATTGCTGGGGGTGAGTGTGCTGGTCAGGGCGCTGCAGATGCTCTGGGGATAGAAGTGCCCAGGTTGCAGCCACCACAGGAGGTCCGCTGTGAGCAGGCCGGAAGCGACGGAGTTTCTGCTTTTCAGGCGCCTGGGCTCCTGGAGGAAGGTGTGGAGATTCAGCTTGGGGCCTCTGCCTTCCACACGGGGTCACCAGGTGTCACGAGGGTGCACACCAGCAGTGCCTGGTCTGCCAGGTGCAGTATTGCACCTCCAGTCCTGCACATGCCAAGTATTTGTCCAGTGCATGCAGGGGCCTTGCTGCTCCACAGCCCAGGATGGTGCTGATGGCAGAGACAGGGTGGTGGGAGGAACTCAGGGCAAAACAGCACGTTATGGCCTGCGAAAACCTCATGACGTAGCCAGGATGTCACTGCGGCAGCAGTAACCCAAAGCCCAACCTCTCACCCCTAACCCGCATGCCGTGTCTGCCGTACAGGGTCTCAGGCTTGTCTGGTGGACTCTGAGTGTGCTGACACGGGAGCAGGACTTACGCCCCTGTGCTTCCCCTAGGATGCACAGGAAGGACCCTGAGCGGCTGACACTGCTGAAGTCGTGAGGAAGTGTTCCTAGCAGGATACAGGAGGGGAGCAGAGAAAGACAGCTAGTCCCCTGCGGCCCACACCATGACAAGTTAACCGCGCTGTGCAAGAGCAAGTCATAAGTGTCCAGATAAGGCAGCAGAGCCAGCTGTCCCCACAGCTAGGGACAAGGCCTGGTGAAGCACAGACCATGCTGGGACAAGCAGGACGTGGGCACCAGGGCTGCTTCCAGGGCCCCCAGCTCAGCCCCAGAGCAGGTGGATCCCAGAGCCGAGGCTCCAGCTCCCAGGGCCGAGCCACTGTGCACCCTTCCCATTAGTGGCCCCAGCGCAGGCTCCTGTGGTCTCCAGGTCCACGTCTGGGAAGAAACGGTCACTGCAGTGGAGAAGTCGAGGGTTCATCGACTTTGGGTCCCTCAAGGTTGTTCCAGGTGTACCAGTGGGGAACTCACCTCCAGGTGTTCGGGGTAGACCTGGTGCCTGGGTGGATGGAAGGGTCCAGTCAGGGTAACCCTGGCCCTACCAGCCACCCAGGCTCCAGCTGCTGGGGTTGGTGAGTGTGGGACTGAGCGCCCTGCGGGAGCGAGGTGCTGCTGCATCTCGGGCGTGCTTGCTCCTCCTGGCTGTGTCTCATTCGCTGCCCGTGCTGTGCTTCCAGCAGGTGGACACAGGGCTCACCCTGGTGGACCTCCCTCTGCACATGCTGAGCAACATCTTGTACCGCTTCTCGGACGGGTGGGACATCGTGACTCTGGGCCAGGTGACCCCCACACTGCACGTGCTCAGTGAAGACAGGCAGCTGTGGAAGAAACTGTGCCAGTACCACTTTGCTGAGAAGCAGGTGAGTGCCACGCGGCAGGCCCCGTCCTCTGAGACTGTGACAGGCACGAAGTGCATAGACATTACCGTGACCCGGCTGTCAGCACCCTCTCGCAAGTCATGCCCTTCGTGTGAAATTTGTTCCAGTGTTTCTTTCAGTTCTACAAAGTAAAACCTGTTCATGTGCTCCACTCCGTGCCACGATTTATAGGCAAGAGAGTGTGGGCTCCCCACCCCCACCACGGCAGCCACTGACCCTCGGCCACGCTCCCTGGTGTGCGCCTTTGTACCGCTTCCGTGGGTGCAGGCGCTGCAGAGCTGCCATGTCCTTCAGCTGTCACCCGTCATCTGCCTGGGGTCCCCACCGATCACGTGGTCCCTGGTGCTGGGGATGCTGGGTGCCCCTCATGACCACTCTGAGCAGTGTCCTCAAGGCTCTGAGCTGCAGCGGGAGCAGAGCCTCGTTCCCTTCCATGGCTGCCTGACGTCCACTCTGTGGTCACCAGGCTGTGTTCCTGCTTTCCTGTCTGTATGCACCTGTGGCTCTGTGGCCCTTGCTGGCTCACGCACAGGTGACAGGTCCTGGCTGTGGCTGCTGGGTCAGGCGGCAGCTCTGGGCTCAACCTTTTGAGGGACAAGCAGGGTTTTCAAAGGGGTTGTGCTGCTTTGCATCCCCTATGGCAAGTGAGGTACCGGCTGTCCACACCCCCAGCACGGGCTGCTGAGACCCTCACGGCCACCCTGGTGGGTGTGTTCTTCCTCAGGATGAAGGCCTTGTGAGTCCTTTGCCTGTTTTTAAACTGAGTTGTTCGTCTTTCCTCTGAGCTGCGAGTGCTCTCAGTTTGTGATGTGTGTACTGTAAACTCGATGCACTGTGGGTGTCCTTCCAGATCTGAACCTGCATCTCTAGCAGCTGCCTGGTGCCCCTCAGACACAGGCCTGCTGGTGTGACCTCAGCCACTCGAGCTTGATGCAAGTAACGAAACGAGCCACAGCCCAGCCGGCGTTGTAAAGACAGCTCGCCCCAGTGTTGGATGTTGAGCTCAGAGCGTGCCTGGTTCTGAGCGGGATCTCTGTGTTCAGTTCTGTAGACACTTGATCCTCTCCGAGAAGGGCCACGTCGAATGGAAGCTGATGTACTTTGCCCTGGAGAAGCACTACCCAACCAAGGAGCAGTATGGGGACACCCTGCACTTCTGCCGGCACTGCAGCATTCTCTTCTGGAAGGTACTCGCTGGAAGTGGATTTACCTCTGCAGCCACTCACTCACATTTTAAGTGTAAAGGCTTTTTTTTGAAAAAGAAAAATACTGTTTGTGATGACACAGGGCAGGGTCACAGGGTAAAACTAGGGCTTTGAACCAGACCCCGCAGGGTGGCCTTATCCTGTGGGCATGTGTGGCTGTCCAGGACAGGGCTCTGGCCCCTGCCCCAGCCCTCAGCTGGGGCATGAGAGTCAGGTTTTCCCTGCTGTCTCCACACCTGGCTCTCGCCTGCAACCCCAGTGCCTAGAGCCCTCCCTCTACATGGCCGTGCCGAGGGCAGGCCTGCCAGGGTCTGCAGGTGGCCAGGAGTGGTCTAGGGCTTCCAGTCCGACAGGAGCAGTGGGCCCAGAGGAAGCCACTGGCATGGTAACCTGACAGGACAGTTGCTGTATGTTACCACGTCTGTCCTCCAGCATGTCTGTGTCCACAGAGTGAACAGGGAGCCCTCCCAGTCAGCCTGCACTGTCCCAGCCGGCCCCCACTTCTGCAGTACCCTTGAGTGTGTTCTCACCATTTGCCTGGAGCTTTCCCTGCTCAGGCGTCAGGAATGGGCGCGTCTGCCTCTGCTCGCTGTCTGCTGGGGGACCCCGCTTTGTGTGCATCTCAGCTGTCAGAGGGTCTCAGGCAGGCTCTAGACCACTGTTCTGTCAAATCACATCCTCGTCGGTGCTTTTCACTGCTCTGAGCCGTGGCTGGCAGGGATGTGAAGGGCTGAGGTCCCCTGTGCCACTTCAGGAGTTTTGTCTCCAAGGTGAGTGGCCCCACAGCCAGCTGCAGATGGCTCCGTGTGTGGGCAACTGGAGAGAGTGTGTTAAGTGACTGCTTGTTTTGTGTGTTGGTGTACCTGCCCTCTTTGCAAAATTGATGCAAAAAATTGATACTGCGAGATGTGCACAGGTGTGTGGGTGCTGCTCTCAGGTGTGGGGACTTGTGTGTAAACTCCTTCCCGTGTCAGTGAGCAGACCGCAGTGTGCACTCAGCCCCTCTGTGGAAGTGTCAGGCAGATGCTCGTGGGGCACTGTTCCTGGAGCAGACGGTTCCAGTTTTGCGAGTGATGGAATGAGACTCCGTCTGTCTTCTGGCTCTGAGCTGTCAGGCAGAACTCGGCACTGCTAGAGTTTCCTTTTTTAAACTGATTTTCTAGCTTCACAAAGGCATTTGTCTGTGGTGAGAATCAGACTGGGTCTCCTCTGTGAGGCCCTGGAGGTTGGTGGTTACCTCGCAGCCGCTCACAGTTCTGAGTGCAGGTGCACGGGTGTGGAACAGTGCCATTCCCCGGCTGCTCCTGCTGGGATCACATTACCTCCTGTCCTGCTGTAGCTGTCCAGGTGCAGAGCAGTCATGGAATCACAGGCCTGGGGCTGTCTTGGGTGTGGCCACAGCAGGTCCCCAGGCCAGACAACTGTTGGTGTTCTGTAGCATCTCCCTGGCTGCTTGTGTTGACTGAGAAACTCAAGTAACATCAGACCTACTAACAAACGGGGAGGGAGCTCTGAATTCTTCCCTGGCCCCAGACCATCCACCAGCCAGGCCATGGTTATGTGCCTAGTAGGGCTTCTGCCAGACGGGGGCTGTGCCCTGGCTCAGAACACACGGGAAGCTGGTTTTGTCTGTGGACTCCCTTTCTTGCCTTTTTTTTTTTTTTTTTTTAAAGATGCAAGTAATTTACTTGGGAGGCAGAGTTAGAGGTCTTCCATCTGCTGGTTCACTCCCCCAGTGGCCTCCACAGCCAGAGCTGGGCCCATCTGTAGGCAGGAGCCAGGCGCTGCTTCTGAGACTCCCATGTGGGTACAGGGGCCCAAACACTTGGGCCATCTTCTGCTTTCCCAGGCAGAGAGCTGGATGAGAAGTGGGGCAGCCAGGACACGAACCGGCGCCCATGTGGGATGCCAGCACTGCAGGTGGATGTGTAACCTACTACACCACAGTGCTGGCCTTTAAGGACTAGCCTCAGTGGCCCCTGGAGAGTCCAGTGAGGTGACCTTGCTGGGTTCCAAGGCTGGACAGAGTTGTGCCCTCTGCTTCTCCAGCTGTCAGAAACTGAGCTTGTAGGGTGGGCAGGGGAAGCTGGGACAAGGATTGGGCACTTCTGTTTCCTTGAAGCCAGGGCTGGCCCCGTGGGCATCAGAGCAAAACAGTAGCTGGGACAGGGCTGCCGTGGAGCAGTTGAGACCGGGACAGAGCAGGGTTCTGGAGGTTGGGCTGGCTCGGGCGGCCACAGAGAGAAGCTGATCTTGCTGCACATGGGGCACAAGCACACAGGGATCCAGGGCGCCCCCAAGTCTGCCCACGTGTGAGACGAGCATGCCGACTCCTCAGTGAACTCCTGTGTTGCTGCCTTGCTGCTGCCAGTCTGAGACTTGAGACAGAAGTGCTTTTCCAAGAAAATTTTCTCGGGTGCCTTCAAGTCCTGTGGGAACTCGGGGTGTCTGATGGGGCGCTGCACGCTGTCCTCGTGCTGTGCTGGAACTCGGGGTGTCTGATGGGGCGCTGCACACTGTTCTAATACTGTGATATAACTCGGGGTGTCTGATGGGGCACTGTATGCTGTTCTAATACTGTGATATAACTCAGGGTGCCTGATGGGGAGCTGCATGCTGTCCTCGTGCTGTGCTGGAACTAGGGGTGTCTGATGGGCCCTGTGTGCTGTTCTAATACTGAGATATAACTCGGGGGTGTCTGGGGCACTGCACGCTGTTCTAATACTGTGATATAACTTGGGGTGTCTGATGGGGCGCTGCACGCTGTCCTTGTGCTGTGCTGGAACTCGGGGTGTTTGATGGGGAGCTGTGTGCTGTTCTCAGTCACTGTGCCTGACGTCCAGTGGCTTTTGTGAATGACGTGCTCTAACCCTGACAGCCCTCCGCAGTCTGGCTCTTTCTAATCCTGACTTTTCTCTCTCCTCCCCTCGCTGCACTCCTTGCCGACTCTTCTGTTTTCCAAGGACTACCACCTTGCTTTACTGTTCAAGGTACTGCCCTGTGGTCCACACATGCAATGTCGGGCCCTGCAGCAGCTGAGCAGGAACCAGCACCCGAGTGATCGGGGCTTAGCCTGAAGGGAAGCTCTGGCCGAGAGGGTCAGGACCGACAGACGCGCGGGCCCCGCACGTCCCTGAGATGAGGTCCACAAAATGGATTGTCCTTTTGCCACTTGCCCTGAGCAGTGGAATTGTCAGCTCTACCCGCTGCCTGCACAGGAGCCTCCTGGGGTTGAGGGAGGAGTGGTGGGGCAGGAGGACAGGAAGGGGGGAGTGAGGCAGAGACCTGGTTCTGAGACTGCCTGGGCAACCACGCGAGGCAAGCTGGCCGTTGTTGCAGTAATTCTGTTAGAGGTGGGGCTGGGGTCCACGTGGCCACAGGAGCAGGGCTGATGGCTGTATAGTGCTTCTGACCTATCCCCTCCCCCTGCAGGACTCTGGACACCCCTGCACTGCGGCCGACCCCAACAGCTGCTTCACGCCTGTGTCTCCCCAGCACTTCATCGACCTCTTCAAGTACTGAGACTGCTGGCACCCGCCGTGACCAGATGCAGCAATCGGGGTTGGGGGACTGGCCATGTCCTCCCCCAAGGCCTGCACTTTCAGAAAAAGCCGGAAATAACGGGCAGTGTTCAGGGTGCTGAGCCTGGAAGCACGGGCTGGGTTTCCACCTTTGAGGGGGTCGGGGGATGCAAGCAAATCATTTCATTTCTTTCCTTAAAACTTGTAAGCATACTGAAATTTGTAATTTTACATATTTTATAAGAATGGACCAAAATATTAGGGGTTTCAGCCCCACATTCTGTGCTGAACTGACACAAATGGCCAAGAATATGCTTCTTAAATGTCAAATTACAGCTTCCCAATGTTCTGGTAATTGGGGGTGGAGGTAAAACAGTTGATCCTTGTAAATACATTGTGCAGAATATTTATTTTTTCTTAAAATGTATTTTCACGATGTCACTGGCCATGTCCACATGAGCCTCTCTGGATACAAATGGACCTGGAAGCTGTCATTGTCCAGTGTCCTTGGGGCTATGAGCTGTGCAGACCACCAGCAGTCATGGCCAGGAACAGCTGGTGATCACCAGATTTTACTGTGTCGACTACTTTTATAAACAAAATGATAAATCGTGTGTCCTGACTGCATTGTGGCTTTCCATCATGCTGAAAGAAACACTGTTAGTGATTTTGATATCATTTACTTAAGTCTTTCAAAGACTTTTAAAATAATACATGTCTATTTCAGAAAATTTTGAAAACGGGTCTATAAAAGAAAATAAAATTCATCCATAATCAGACACTGCAGGAAAGAGACATTTTGTCTGTTTTCATCTTACACGGTCAGATGCCTAGCAAACCAGTTTAAATACCTGTGGCACATTTATGAATACGAGACAACAGATTTGGGCTTGAACACTTGGACACCCAGGAGTGCACTTGTGACTCAGGTTTCCAACCAGATACCTGCAGATGCACACGTTGGACTTTCTCCTGAACCGCCAAAGCCCTTGTGTTCACATTGTCCATGCACATTTTCATGGGCACCGTGAACACCATGCATTTCACCTCACTTGATGGCCAGGCCATGAACACCCTACGTGCAAAATCAAACACCCTACAAACCATTTAATTGCATGTGCTAATCCATGAACACTGGATGTTCCACTTTGACAACTGACTGCATGGTTGCCCTGTGACCACAGTGCAATCTAACTGCCCCCAGGGCACCCTGCATCCTAATTCACCTTCATCACTGGCCCTGTGAACATTCTCTGTTCCACTTCATTTGATGAACACATTTATGTTCCAGTTCGTTTAATTCAGGCTGCGTGAACGCTTCTTTTTTTTTAACACACCCACATAAACAACCTTCGTTGTACATTAATGTATGACCATGCCCGTGAACACCGTATGACCACACAACAAACACTATATTCCACTTCACGTCATGACTGCGACCATGAAGATCCTGTGTTCTTGTTACGGCCAGGTCTAAAAATCCCTGTATTCTGCATTTTCTGATGGCCCATGAGACACCACGTATCCCACGTTCAATTTATGGCTATCCCCAAGAATACCTTTCTACTTCATTTTATGCACAGAACTGCAAACACCCTAAATTCCAGTTCATCTTATGGCTGATACCACACCACCCTGTATTCTGCTGTTTCTTGTAACTGGCTCTCTGAATACTATATTCCACTTAATTTTGTGAATGGCTGCAAGACAACGTACATTCCAGTTTATTTTATGGCTGGCTCTGTGAGCACACCACCTGCCACTTCACCTTATGACCAGGCCCACAAGCACCGTAATTTCCACTTCATCTTATGAACAGACCCATCAGCACTGTACACTTCACTTCATGACCAAGTTCATGGACACACTGCATTCACCCACATTCCATGAACAGCCCAGGTCACGCTTCACTGTGTGACTGGCTCCACGAACACCCTGCACCCACTTCATTTTATAATCAGCCCCAAGAGCACTCTGCATTCCACTGCATTTTGGTAACACATCCAAAACATCCTACATTCCAGTTCTAATGAACAGATTCGTAAGCACCCTGCATTTCTCTAGGTTTTTTGACCAACCCTATGAACACCCTGAATTCTACTTCATTTTGTAACCAACCCTATGAAAAAACTGTATTCCACTTCATTGAAAGTATAGCTCCAAAGACAATATGTTTCACTTCAGTTGATGCCTGGCCCCTTGAGACCCAGTAATCAGTAGTTCGTTTTGTCATGGACCCCTTGAACAACTTAAATTCCACTTCATTGAAAGTGTGGCCCCAGGAGCACCCTATATTCTATTTCATTTAATGACCAGCACCACAGATACCCTACATTTCACTTCATTTTGTCAACAGACCCATCAACAAACTACAAATTAATTTTATCACTAGCCCTGTCAACACCATATATTCCATTTCATTTCATGACTGGTCCAATGAACACCTCCATTCCCCTTTACTTTTTTTGAACAGATTCATAAACAACTAGCATTCAATGTTCATTTTATAATCATCCCTGAAACCTCTCATACTCATGTCCCATGAACACCCTGCATTAAGCTTCATTTTGTGACTGGCCCCATGAATGGCCAACACTCTACTTCATTCTGTGTGAGCCCCAGGAACAACAAACATTGCACTTGATTCTCTGTGTGGCCCTTTGGACGGCAAACATTCCACCTCGCACTGTGTGTGACCCCAGAAACACCCTGTGATACACAGCATTTTGGGAGCAGCCCCAAGACAATGCTGTATTTGTCTACATTTTATGATCAGCTCCATGAAACTGCAGTATAACTGCAAGTTATACTTTATTGTAAGACTGGCCCAGTGAATATTATACATTTTGCTTCACTCTGACCCCAGAAATACCCTGCATTTCATGACCAGCCCAATAAACACCCTTCATTCCTCTTCATTTTTTGACCAGTGTTTTTCCCCTGAGTGATCGACCTCTTTCTTAATGGTCATTTGCAAAACTGGCTCTACAGCATCAAACAGATGAGCAACCCTTATCATCTCCGCATTGGGCTGTTCTAACTCCAGTCTACACTGCGTCTGTGCGTCTGGTAAGCCAGCAGTGGATCCAGGTAGTGATTCCGGCAGCTCACGGTGTTACCTGCCCGTGCAGATGCTCGTGAGTGTGCGTGACTGCTGTAAGGGCATTTCCTTCTCTCTTGGTGCTGGGTAAGAGTTGGAGCTGTTCTCTGCCTTTGTTCTTTGGGGCTGTTCTTATCACGTTAGTTTCTTCTTCAGAGGCTAATAATCCCTTGAGGTCTCAGTTCCAATTTGCCAGGACCCCTCTGCTTGATGTGATGTTGTGGGCTGAGCTGTTCTGTGGAGTCACACATACATGCTTTGAGCTTTTAAACTGAGCACTTCCTGCTTAAAAGCAACTGTGCCCCTCCCCTGGCACACTGCAGCCAGCCCATACTGTGAATGCAGGTAGGCCAGCCCCCAGCACAGCTGGGAAGTGGAGGCCTCTACCACTAAGAAGAGCCAGACAAACACAGAAGAAAGAAAGTTTTGAGCCCATGATTACTTGCAGGTGGTCAGACGAGAATCAGCCGTAAATGTATACATTCACACAGAATCCTGAATGCAGACCCTGTTAGGCTGCCTCTTGTCATTGTATTAGACTCAGTCATGAGTCTGTTTGCAGTGCAGAGGAGGCAGAGGGACCTAGGAGTCCGGCCCCAGACCTCTCCCACAGGTATTGCCACGCACTCCATACTCCGTGCCCCCACTGCTCACCCAGGTGCCACCCTGCCTCCCAGCCTCTGTGTGGCCCTCCTACCGCAACTTCCCTTTGTGGGTTGAGGCGTTTCTCACTTCATCTGTGAGCAGGCGCACATCACAGTGGCCAGCAGAGTTGCAAGGGGCACCTGCGTGCTGGCTGCACACACGGGCACAAGTGCCTTACGTGCTGACTGCAGAATCAAACCCTCATGCAGGATCTTTGTATGCTGATCTCGTATCCTGCAACCTTGCTAAAATAGTGCATTAGCTCCAAGAGTGGTAGCGCTGTATCCAGACTGATGTCATGTGCACATAGACAGTTTCACTTCTTCCTTTCAGTCTAACTGCTCTGTTTCCTGTTCTTGCCCAGCTAGGCCCTCTAGCCCAACGCTGAGCAGACATGACACAGCTGACATCCTTGTCTTAGTCCTGAAACCAGTGGAATACTTCCATCCTTCAACCTCGCCAGCGAGGTCCGCTGTGGGGTCTTCAGGTTGAGGAAGTCCGCTTCTGTCGCGAGTTTGTTGTATATCATGTGAGAGTGATAGGTTTTCCCCTCGTTCTATCAGTGAGGTGTAATCACACTGTTTCTGGATGTTGAGCAGACTGTGCCTTCCTCAGTTACACCCACTTGGTCACAGTGTGGCTTTAGACCCACCTGTTGGACGTGGCATGCTGGTATTTTACTGAGGATTTTTGAATCTGTTTTTTTATGAGATGTAGGTCTTTGGCCTCTTTTCTTGGGATGTCTTTGGTTTTGGTGAAAAAGGACCAGATAGGATGAGCCCAGAATGCCCCCCTCCACCCTGTGGGAGGTGACGACTTCCTGTCGCTACCCCCTTACACAAAGAACCAAGAGCCAAGGAGAACTCCTGTGGCTGTCTCAGCGGAGACGCCCTTTTGCACAGTCCTTGCCTTGTAACTGACAGGAGGAGGCTGTTTTCCTGGGATGTCCTGGGAGAAGCCTGCAGAGAACCAACTCAGAAGAGCTGCTGTGATGCTGTGATGCTGTGCTCTGTGGCCAGCAGTAGGTCCAGGGCCACCTCTGAAAACCAGTGCATGAAATATACACCTCCCCCTACTCTCCACAAGGGCAGAGGATTGAAGCAAGTGTGGAGGAAACTTGAGGGCCTGGGTGGCCAGCAACTCCACCCAAGGGCTCTGACGCCCGATGCCCCTTGGCTGGAGGTCCAGTTTCCACACTGTTCTCAGCTTGTTGCACCCTTGCCTGTCTAAAGGCAATTGCAGCTTCAGGCTTCCCTCACACGCCCCATCCTGGCCCGTCCCTGCCACTGCCCTGCGGTGGAAACACGCTTGACTTAAGACCCAGTTTGGACCAAACTGGTCTGCTCGGACACGACTCAGAGCTGTGATGTCCACCCGTCAGGCTCACAGCAGGCAACTGGTGCAGGGTGGGATGCCTTCACCTTTCACCCCCTCCTGCATGTCCCTGTGACAAAGCCCACTGCACTGACGGTGCAGAGGCCTGCAGTGGCACAGGCCCACTCGGGTTCCGGGGAAAGCCGTGCCCTCCATCCTCTTCCCTCAGTCCTGTCACACTGTAGGGAGCAGAAATTAAACAGCTCCAGCGTAGTATTAGCAAGAAACATCAAGAGCTACGCTGACTGCAAAGATCAGCACGGACTTGGTAAGAACCACGTTGGCCCCCACAGCCTCCTGGGACCTGATCAGCCCCACACTGACCACCAAAAGTGAGTATCAGCTGCAGACTGACGAGGCCCAGGGAAAATCCCTGAACACTCTCCTGAAAGCAGCAGAGTGAAAGCTCTGGGTTCACCCACTGCACTGAGACCTTCCCGTGAGAGAGTTCTCCTGGCCAGCCCTGCTCGCCCGACGCCAAGGCTCTGCTCTCGTCCAACACTGAGCCTGCTTGCCTGCCAAGGCCCTGTGCTCACCCTACATGGAAGCTCTGCTCACCTGAAGTGGAGAGTCCACTCACTCGCCCTTCAAGACCCGCATCCTTCCGCCCAGAGGCAGCACCACCCCCCATGCGGATGCTGCAAGAATCCGCCTCTGTGG